TTGTTTTAATTATTTTTTAAAACCCATTAAGTTGGTTTATTAATTAGATCCATCAGCCACATACCTGAAATACTAATAATGATTGACCTTTGACATTATTAATTCAGTAAAATATACTGATTTTAACTTTCAAAATTTCTTTGAGGAATGTGAAAATTAGATGTTATTAATTAGAATATAAACCTAAGATTAACTGATGAATTTATGAAATGGAATAAGTTTTAATGTTTTTCAGTTGCCCAAAAACTGGCAAGTCATTGTGGCTTAAAGCATTTGTCAGTAGGAGGCGCTTTGCGTTATATATTAAACAACCAACCAGATACAGAACTGGCAATTATGTTAAAGTGGCATCTTTATAAAGGAATGACAGTACCTGATGAACTAGCTATTCAAGCCCTAGAAATATCTCTGATGGAAAATATATGCAATACTGCAGGGTAAGTGCTCCGGGGTAGAGGAGGTAAATCTTTCAAGAAATTACTCACTGGCATTTAAATACTTTAAAGCTCGAAAGCTCTTGTAAAAGGGGTGACCTGCTTCTCAAACTAGAGCATCTATGTGACCACATATTTTAATTTTCTGTCAACTAAAACTTGACTTGAGCGCTCAACAAGCCAAAAGAGCCAGCAACCCTGAGTTGTCTAAAAATCACCAGGCTATGTACATAGCCCAAAAGGAAGCTGGTGTGACTTCTGCAGCCCAGAAGTGATAATTGGACCAAATGAACTGGCCCAATAGTTATGGCTGCTCACTGAGCCAGCTCTCTGCTGGCACTGTTCCCAGAGGCAGCAGTGCCTCTCCCTTAATGTCAAATTTGGACAGGAGCACTCATGTTTGAATTATTTCTTTAGTTTACACTCTACTCAAGCATTCCCCAACTCATCCCCACCCCAGTACAACCACTGGTCACACAAAGTCATAAAAATGAGTGAAACCTAATGTCCTGCTCTGGAGTCCAAGTCACTGACCTAGAATCCCCCTAATTTACTCATAGGTGTAATTTACCCTGCCCTTCCCTGCCACAGGTCCTTAATCAAATCTCTGGACAATTCTCCTAACTTCAGTTATAGGGGAGCAGATTCCAGAGTGTCTGGGATTTAAGCAAATTGAGTTACTTCCTTCCTGGTGTTCAGCTTTGCAGAAGAGCAATCTCAATTAAGGCAACCTTGACTGAGTCACAAAGGTTTTAGTTCCAGACTGGAACTCTCCACTCACCCTGAATTTCTCTAAGCTTGAGGGCCACTCAAGTGACCCTTACTTCACAAGATGGAGATGTTAAACTACTCTCCAATTAAAACAACAACAGTGGCACCCCATACATTCTCTGGCTGTCTTAATTTATAACCCTCTCAGCCATGGCACTTAAAGCTAGTACCTGGAGACTTGGCTGGAAAGCATTGAGGTAGGGTATCCTGTGACTTAGCCCAACCAGCAGCCAATGTGCCCACCTTGCTCCCATCGCAGAGTGAGCTTCCTGACTTTGGGGGCCACTCATCCCAGAATTTGTAGATGGCTTTTACTTCTCTCAGTTTGACAGTGACACCCTCACAATTCACCATCCTTTCTGCCCAGAGGCATGCTGGTCCTGATGAAATGATGAAGACTCTTGGGAGTCTTCTCATAACTCTATATCTCCCTTTTGAGACTCCCAGCCTCCTCATAGAACTTTACTGTGAAAGTTTAGAACAAGTTTAGAGCACGGTTTTTTCCATATTTGCTTAATCTCTTACTAAAATACTATTGATTGTGCCAGGTCCTACTATAGTTGCTTTACATACCTGATCTACAATCTTTAAGGCAACTCTAAATTAAACGTAATTTCCCCTGAAAACTGAAATTCAGAAAGACATCAAGTCAAACTGAGTTTCAAATATAAGTCTGTCTGCTTCTAAAGCCTAAACTCTCCACTGCTGTCATGCTTAGAATAACAGCACCAATTGAATACTAATATAGTGTTCAAGGTATGATGTGCGTTCTCTCTTGAATTCTGCCAAGACCTGCCTTGGGATGCTAAATGTACAAATTCAGAGCTGTGTTCATATATATGCTGCCCTTCTTCTCGCCCTTGGACTGACTGAGGTTTAAAATATCTCTAAGTAGAGGGTGAATCACAAAGAACAGAAATCAAGTTGCTGATTAGCTTGGGGCTACTGCTAAAAAAATTACTGATTCTGAAAGACAAGAGGGAAGCTTTGAGAGAAAAGAAATTTGGAGCTTTTATTTTCACTTTTCTCCTTGTTAGTGCTGTCATTGATGGATACCCTGTAACTTACTCTCAAGTGAGTATCTTGGAAGCCAGGTCCATCATCCCAATGATCATCTTTGAGTTGGATGTGCCTTCCAAAGAGATTTTCAAAAGACTGCTCCTGGAAAAAAACAAGGGACCAAGGTAATGTATGTGATGAAAACAGTAGTAAAAGAAGTGAATTTTAGTCATCTAGTGAAAACAGTATGTTCTAAGAGCTGTTTTCCATCCCTTCTCTTTTTCTCTCCAGTTTGCCTTACCCATTACACAACAGTGCACAGATTATAGCTGTCAGGAACTCAAGCTACAACAAAAATGTTGATGAAATTAAGCAATATTATGAAAAACAGCATCAGAACTGGTATGTGATTGATGGATTCCACAGCAAATGGTGGGTATGGAATGAAGTCATTAAGAAAATTCATATGGTGAATAGTTATATACAGAAATATCTGGAAAGAATAAAAGCAGGTAAGAAAACATTGAACTGTTGGGATGGAATAAAATATCAATTTAAAGTTTATTCATGCCTGATTCATGTTTTCATAAATCATTCAATTTAAACATTTGTTCCCACAATTTTAATCAGTATTTAAGTATATACTACTATCCAATTATAGTGGCATGTATATTTGTTCTAATAAATGACTGTTGCTCCTCAACCTATCATTTATTGAATGCCTGTGTGAGCTTAGTTTTTAGATTACACATGGTCTCCCACTAGGACAGTTTATAGTGTTTGGAATGCCAGGTAAGAAGCTTGTTTCAAAAATTGTAGATCTGAGGGCAGTGGCCTGTGGAGTGACACACTCATTATGCTTTATAAATATTGAATTTATTTAAAATTTTTTAACTTAAACATAAAGTGTCTCCATCTATATTTGGGATCCATGAAAGGAAATGTTGGATTATGTATTACATATTCTGATAATTTTTTTATTTTTCTCCAAAAATAAAATTTTTTTCTCCAAAAATATGTAAAATAGAAGGAAAGTTATCTTCATCTGTTTTCTCTAAAAAGAGTGAGAACTCCAAAGAATTTACCTGCGGGTGTCAGACAGTTTTCTATTTAATGACTTTATTTACCTTTGGAAACCATGAAGAAAATATATTAAGGCATGAGGAAGCAACATGTTGAAGAAAATCTTCAATTACATTATGTCTTTGTTTGTCTTTTTGTCTGTTAGACTCTATTTCCAACTAAGGTCATATCCTCATGTGCTGGGGGATTAGAACTTCAGCATATCCTTTGAGGAGACACAGCTCAACCCGTAACAGTAACCTAGTCTTGAAAGTGACATCCAATCACTTTTGCTATGTTCTGTCCCTTAGACGGAGGCTACTTGGCCAGCCCACACCTGGGGGGGAAGATTACTCAGGGAGTGACCACCGCCAGATGGGCATGTAAGAGACTGCTGGAGCCAGGCTAGATCCATTCACCTGGTGATCCCCAGTGATCTACATGCTACAGTAACAGAGGCATGATCTGCCTTATTCTCAGATTAGTAGGGTAATTGAAGATGTAAAGTGACAAGAATTTTGTGTGGCAACATTTGGTAAAGTTCCCAGACATTTTGTCTTAAATGCTACCTTAGGAAACCTGCTCTTGATTCTGGAAATAGAATGCAAAGATATTCAGGAGATCTTACCCAGGATCTGAACTTTTCAGAGAAGACTGGAACTTAATGATGTAGTCTGTATTCAAGGATAGAGGCCTTCCTTGGGGGACCCTGAAGTAACAATGGGATTTGTAGTCCTGGGTTGATTCTCTCGAGTCTTTGATTTTACCATTTGGAAAACCCTGTGCTCTACCAAATTAAATCCTAAAGACCCTTTAGAAATGGTGCTAATTCCACACTGATGATTCTTTATTTCAAGAGGTGAATGGAGGGCAACAGCCAAGAAACCAGTGCTTTTTAAATGTCTGACTTATTACTATTGCTTGAAGGAATGCCAGTTAATAAAGATGGCTTTATTTTGTGTGTGCTCCTTCTTCCTCCCCACTCCCTATTTAAAAACATAACTGTGGTGGGATTGCATGGTGGAACCTTCTTCAAGTTTGGCTTTAGCCATCCTCTTTTCAGGTCTAGACCCAGCCTTTTTGGGAGATGGGTATGGTATTTAGTATCAGAGGAATGTACCACCTTGATGCCCAGTCATTGAGGAAGGTTCATCTTCTTTTTTTAAAAAAGATTTATTTATTTATACATACAAGACCTGGGGTACAGGCCAGAGATGCAGGGGGTGAGAGGATTCACCAGAGACAGAGTGGGGAGCAGAACAGGCAGACTGACTGAATACACTGCTGAGGGGAGCAGTGGGCGAGTCAGGAGAAGTCTGCTGAGCCATGTGGGTTGCTCCTTGGCCTGCCTGGGATTGAACTCATGCTGCAGAGGCTGTGGATTGCTTCATAGTGAGATGCTTAACACCTTGCACCACCAGGGAGGCCCAGGTCCATCTTCTGACTTGTGTTACTGAAAACCTCTAAAAGTTTATTCTTAAGTCATTTGGGGGAGGGCAAAATTTGTAATGAGCAGACACTAGACTATTTATCATCTTTACACACCTTGGTGAATAAGGAAGAATCATCCTCTTTCATTAGATAAATTTATGTCATAGATGACAAATTTAATGCCATAGATGCCATAAACTCTATGAGAGTGTGATATAATTCTAAAATCTAAAATATTTTGAATTAGCCAAAAAATCTAGTCCCTAGAGTCTCAGGTAAGGGATTATAGATCTGTAACAATACACCTCACATGAGATCATTTCTATCCTCAGGAGAAATTTAGTAAATTTACATTGTCCCAAAACAAACCAAACAATAACTTTCTGCTTCATAATTTCATAATTAATCTAAGACCTTGTTAGACATAATAATAAGAACAACAAAAAGGCAAAACTTGTCACTGGTGAAAGGGACCATTAGTAAAACATATTGATTAGTGTCAAAATTTACTTCTTATAGCTAAATGTATTTAAAAAGTAACTTTATTCCCTATACCATATTACTTTGGAATATTGGGAGAAAATCCTTGAACCAGTCCATTGAAAAAATTATGTTACTCTCTTGTTTAAATCTCTAGGGCACACCTAGGGGGGAAATGTTTCTTCCCTTCTCTTGGGTGGCTGTAAGTATCATTATACACTAGAATACTACATGTCAATTAGAAATAATTAGGTAAGTCATACAAATTAGTATGGAAAGATGTCAGAGAAACTCTTTACTCCATTGTTTGGAACCTACAATATGTATGCATTTGTGTAATTTCAGTTATTTTAATTTTTAACATCCTTGTTAAAAAGAATGAAGACATATAATAGCTAATATGTTGATTACAGGAAAAGCTGCCCACATTGACAAGTTATGTATCACACCTGAAGAGCTTGCTTCTCGCCTGGGCGAATTTGGACAGTTCTGCCCTGTCAGCCTGGCAGAATCATATGAATTAATTGATTGCTCGGAAACTGAGTCCTTGGAATTTGCAGCTGAGTTCAGAGGGCACTATTATAAAATGAGTTCTCAAGAAAAACTGAACGTAAGTTGTTCCTAAGTCAAAATGGTTAGCTAGAAGAAGAAAATGCCTGTCTCTTGATTCATTAAAGAAGGGGTGGACACAGATAGGAATACCCAGGAACTTTGGGTCAGCAGCCCCATTATTGGAGCATGTGACTCTGGAACCAATGAAGCAATTCAGAAGTCAGTCCTGATGCTGCCTCCCAGGACATATTTTGTTTTGTTTTGTTTTTAAAGATTTATTTATGTATACAAGAACTGAGGTACAGGCCAGAGGTGTAGGGGGTGAGAGGATTCATCAGAGACAGAGTGGGGAACAGAACAGGTGGATTGACTGAAACACACTGCTGAGGGGAGGTCTGATGCACCATGTGGTTTAGCTCCATGGCTGGGGATTGAACTCATGCTGCAATGGCTGCCAATAGCTTCATAGTGCTGACATTTAACCCCTTGCACAATCAGGGAGGCCCCCCAGGACATATTTTGGCACAAAAGAGAAATTCAGGGTCAGTGATAGGTCCTTGACTTGGGCTAGTTCAACAGATAGGAAGACCCAACAATGAGCTCCACCAGTAGAGGGGATGATGAGCATTGGGGCTCAGCCCACAGATGGGTGTCCAAAGGTGCTGAAAAAGGAAGTTGAAGTCAAAATTAGTAGAAATGAAGCAAAAAATTACTTGTGTCTCCCTGTGATTTTAAAAATGTTCTATCTACAATCCCTGTAAACCTTATACAGTCCTGTTAAATGGAACAGAATACAGATTTATTCTGATATTATAATGTCCATAATTTGATAATATAAAGAGGTTGTTGAAACTAATCAGATGCCTCTGAACATTTTATTTTCCTCTGAATAAACAGAAGTTTTTGATGACATTATTAAGGAGACTTTTATTTCTTCCTGCTAATTTAAATGGTAATCACAGAATTTTAAAACTGGAAGTGACAGAAATCATCTGTCCTTTCCATTTTACAGAGTGATAACTGAAGCTGGAGATGTTAACTCATCTGCAAAGGGCACCCAACTAGTTAATGACCCTATTGGACAGGAAAACAGGCAGGCAGGTGATGGTACACTCTCCAGCGCCTGGCATGTAGTAGGAGCTCAACAAATATTTTTGTATGAATGGATGAGTGACTGAGATTAGGAGAGAGACCTTAGATGTGATCACTTTTGAATAAATGAACTGCCAACCAGGGGAGCAGTTACTGTAGTGAGAATTGCAGCTCTCAGATGCATCAAAAGGCCAACCTTGATACTGGAAATGGGGAGTGTAGCAGGAGAGCCTCAGTAGATTTTTGATTGACATAGTCTTCCTTTTTTTAAATGATTTTGCTGCTGTAATCCTTATATGATCCTTTTTTTAAATCCTTTTTTTAGAAATTTTTGGAGAACCCAGAATTATATGTGCCTCCATTAGCTCCTCATCCACTCCCATCTGCCAACATGATGCCCAAAAAGCTGACACTGTCAGAGTTGAAGAGTCGATTCCCTAAGTGTGCTGAGCTCCAGGGCTACTGTCCTGTGACCTACCAGGATGGAAAACAAAGGCAAGTCCTTGCCCTGGGGAAGTACAAGGTGGAATCCCTACTCAGAATAAGTGGTTCATAGAAGATCTCTAACCTTTTAGTTAAAAGGTCACTAATATTTAATTGGAAAATGTTCTATTTATTCCTTAATTTGCATAGGTAGAAAAATAGAACATTGTTGGCATTTTATTTAATAGTCCTACATATGAATTATACAATAGAATTTTTTTTTTGTATTTCAGATATGAAGCCCTAGTACCTGGTAACATTAACTATGCTTTAGAATATCGTGATCATATATATATTTGTGAAAGTAGAGAAAAACTCGAGAAATTTTTGAGGTGAGACCTTTCACTGTCATAAATATTTTTTTAAAGATTTTTTTATTTATATATACAAGAACTGGGGTACAGGCCAGATGTGAAGGAGGGTGAGAGGATTCACCAGAGACAGAGCGGGGAACAGAACAGGCAGACTGACGAAATACACCGCTGAGGGGAGCAGCGGGCGAGACAGGAGAGGTCTGCTGCGCCCTGTGGGATTCTCTCTGGCCAGCAGGAATTGAACCCGCGCTGCAGAGGCTGTGGACAGCTTCACTGCGCGGCGATCAACTGCCTGCACCAACAGGGAAACCCCACTGTCATAAATATTTACTGAATTTTTTTTGTTCAATCTGCCACACTGGGAAATAGATATGTGTATACACACATACACACACACACACAAATATGCATACATACACATATATACATACATACTCATCTGATGATGAGTCTATAACTTCAGGTTAAGACAGACCTTTGGAACCTAATAACAACAGGATGTGAGGGCTTTAGGGTGGGAAAATGCCCAGAGTTCTGAGAGAGGGGTCAACAGTCTGAATTTCCTGTTAGAGAAGATCTAAAGGAGAATTAGGAATTAACTACATGAAGGGAAAGAGGGCCTTAAAAGGGAACCCAGACCAAGGTATCACAGGACTGTAAGAAATTCCACTGGCTCTAATATGCTGTGGAGATAGAAAGGGCCAAAAGAAGTAGATATGGTGAGCATATGGATCGTCAGTTACAGTCACCATAACATTTCAACTTGATCCGAAAAGCAGTATGAAGACACTGACTGCTTTTGGATGTTATAATCAAATTTTCTTCAGAGAGAGACCATTGCTAGAGTGTTGATGATGGGCTGGAGGCAGGAACACCAGCTACAAGAATCCTGTTCAAATGAGATAGCATGTTTGAGATCACACATGAAGAGCGGTGTGGGTAAAGCTACAGGCTGAGGACCAGTCCTGGGAAAGACCAACACAAAAATGACAGGAGAGCTTACACAGGAGAGTGAAAAAGAAGAATTCCACTTAAGTGAAAAAAGAGTAAAGAGGGGAGAAGGAGAGAGTCTAGGAGGGCCTGACCAACAGGCTTACATGCTGCTTAGAGGTCAAGCAAGACAAGATTTGAAAAGAATGTCAGATTTAGCTCAGCTCATTGGTGATTGTGGCAAGAATGGTTTGTTTCAGTAGAGTGAGGTGATGGAAGCAATTACAGAGTGCAGAGGTGTAGATATGAGGTGAATGTAAGACCTTGCCATAATTAGCCCAGAGGTTGCACAGGTCCTTTGTGACAAAGGGAATGAAATGCTTGAGGGAAACTACTGGATATGAAACAAAGGTAAACTACTGTAAACTGGATCACCCTTGCCCCAGATGAAGGAGCAGCAGTGAGGCAGTCACAACCAGACAATCCTGTTGTTCACAAGAAGTTATCCTGGCTTTTTTTTTTTAAGATTTATTTATTTATGTGTTCAAGAATTGGGGTACAGGCCAGAGGTGCAGGGTTGAGAGGATTCACCAGAGACAGAGTGGGGAACAGAACAGGCAGACTGACTGAAATACACTGCTGAGGGGAGCAGCAGGTTAGACAGGAGAGGTCTGCTGTGCCATGTGGGTAGCTCCCTCGCCGGGGATTGAACTTGTGCTGCAGGGGCTGGTGATAGCTTGATAGCACTGTCCTTAATTTTCCCTGTGCCACCAGGGAGGGCCCTATCCTGACTTTTAAGCCACTTTTGACTGATACAAAAAAATTTTAAATATGTGGATCAAATCATCTCTGTAGTAGTTTGTGTAGTAGTTTGTCATCACTAGAGACACGCACTGTTTAAGGAAGTTTAACTGTAAAAATAGAAGAGACGTTAGTTGCTGGAAGTGATATAGGATTGAAGGAATGAAGTGGTCTTTCATTTTTTTTTCCAGTGGGGGAGGTATGAGCATATTTAAATGCCTGGGAAAGATTCAGTTAAAAAACATGATGCCAGAGAGACAGAAAAGAGAGAAATTGGGGAGTAAGGGTCTCTCTCTGGGCCTCCCTGGTGGTACAAAGGGTTACGTCACAGCACTATGAAGCTACTGCAGCACGTTTCCAGGCCAGGGAGCTAACTCACATGATGCAGCAGACCTCTCCTGTCTTGCCTGCTGCTCCCCTCAGCAGTGTATTTCAGTAGATCCGCCTGTTCTGCTCCTCACTCTGTCTCTGGTGAATCCTCTCGTGCCTACCCCTGCACCTCTGGCCTACACCCCAGTTTTTGTATGCACAAATAAAAATAAATCTTTTAAAAGAAGATGCCCTCTCTGGAAAGAGGGGGTAGCAGGGGTCTAAGTATGGGTAGGGACTGATCGTGGGTGGGAAGTAAGGTCAGCCATGGAAAGAGAAGCATGTGTGTGCCTCTGCTTGTGATGAGCAGTGAGGACATTCCATTGTGATGGCTTCTTTTTGTGTATCATAGCATCTGTGTAAGGGGTGACTTGGGAGAATTAGCAATTTGAGAAGAATAGTGAAGTTTTATATAATCGATGTGAAAAAAATTGAACTGAGAATAGCTAAGCCTGGCTAGAGAGCCAGGTGAAATCGATGGCTATGAATTTTTAGGAGCCCCAGTCTTTCCACTTATATCACCTTCTCTGGTAGGAAAAATTGTAATAGGGTGGTCCCCAGGAAAGGGGGAGGTTCCAGGTTCCCTGCCCCACCCTAATGGAGGGTGGAGCTGAGCAGGGAGAGAAGAAGCTGCAGAGGAGACTGAGGAAGGAAGGAAGCAGGATGCAGAGCCAGAAGGAGACCTGGAGGAGGCACATGGAGCCTAGAGACACCTGAAGAAACTGCGCTTGTCTTTTGGTCGTGGACTGGGTGACACAGATGTGGGTGAGACCCGTGGGGAGGTGACAATGGCAGCATTTATCTTGATTTTGATTTTGCTCTTTTCCTTCTGGGCTTGTCTGGTTGTTTCTGACCCTTTTCTGTGGGTCCCCACTGGAAGGGGCTTTAGACTTGTGGCAGGCTTTGGGGCCTTGCTCTGGGCCAATCCTGTTTGGATGGAGTTTTACCCACGAGGGGATGGGTAACTTTGGGTGCTTGATTTAGAAACTAGATTCTTTGCCTTTCCTGTATTGTTTCCTAGTTGTATTAAAGTTCCTTCCCATTAAAATCTCATATGTTTTGTGTTGATGAGGCAGATGGCAGAACCCATTTAAAATAGGCAGGTTTGTGGGGTTTGGGCTGCCCCTCTCCCTGCCCTGTAACACTAGCATTGGTTTATAACATTATGTATGTTCCAGATATACAGCATTATATCAGTAGTTCACATCTGCACATACTATGTTATGATCTCAACCAAAAGTTTAGTTTTCCATCTACCGCCACACTATTGACCCTCTTACTCTATTTGTCTACCTCCCCACCCCTTTTTTTTTTTAATATTCATTTTATTTTTTTTTTAATTTAAATTTTATTTTTATATTCCCCATACAATTGCAATCCCCCATTCTGACCCCAATCCCTCCCCTCCCGCCCCCACCCCCCAAAAAGTGTCTCTGGTTCATAGTTTTTGTTGATTTTGATTTTCACTTTCTTATAGTTATTCATTTTCCTGGTCCCTTATTTAAGTTTTCTAGATCCCTGCTATGAGTGAGACCATCCGGTATTTTTCTTTTTCTTTTTGGCTTATTTCACTGAGCATGATCCCTTCCAGCGTCATCCATGTTGCTGCAAATTGCATGTGTTTATCTTTTTGGAATGCTGAGTAATATTCCATGGTATATATGTACCACATCTTCTTGATCCAGTCATCTATTTTTGGGCATTTGGGCTGTTTCCAAAGCTTAGCTATTGTAAACAGTGCTGCTATAAACATGGGGTGCAGGTGTTCTTTGGAATTGATGTTTCTGTGTTCTTTGGGTAAATACCTAGGAGTGGAATTGCTGGATCCTGTGGAAGCTCTATGTTTAGTAGGTCCAGAAATCTCCACACAGCTCTCCATAGTGGTTGGACCAGTTTGCACTCCCACCAACAGTGCAGAAGAGTTCCTTTTTCTCCACAACCTCGCCAACATTTGTTGTTGCTAGTTTTTTTAATATGTGCCATTCTCACTGGTGTAAGATGGTATCTCATGGTAGTTTTGATTTGCATTTCCCTGATTGCAAGTGATGTTGAACATTTTTTCATATGCCTGTTGGCCATTCGCATTTCCTCTTCAGAGATGTTTCTTTTTAGTTCCTCTGTCCATTTTTGACTGGATTATTTTCTTTGTTGTTGTTGAGTCTCATCAGTTCTTTGCAGATTTTTGTGATCAGTCCTTTATCATTAGTGTTAGGTGCAAAAATGTTCTCCCAGTTGGTGGGGTTTCTCTTTGTTTTGTTATTGTCTCTTTTGCTGTGCAGAAGCTCTTTAATTTGATGTAGTCCCAGCTGTTTATCTTTGCCTTCACTATCACTGCTTTGGGTGATGCGTCTGCAAAGATGTCTTTGATATGCAAATCACGTAGTGTTTCGCCTATATTTCCTTCTATGTATTTTATGGTTTCAGGTCTTATGTCTAGTTCTTTAATCCATTTTGAGTTGATTTTTGTATATGGTGTGAGGTAGTGGTCAAGCTTCATTCTTTTGCATGTAGCGACCCAGTTTTCCCAGCACCATTTATTGAACAAACTTTCTTTGCTCCAATGCATAGTCTTTGCTCCTTTGTCAAAGATTAGTTGACCATAAATCTGTGGGTTTATTTCTGGATTTTCTATTCGATTCCATTGGTCTGTATGTCTGTTCTTGCTCCAATACCATGCAGTTTTGATGATTATGGCTTTGTAGTAGAGTTTGAAGTCTGGGAGTGTGATGCCTCCATTCCCTTCTTTTTTTTTCAGGAGAGCTTTGGCTATTCGGGGTTTTTTGTGATTCCATATGAATTTCATCAATAATTGTTCTATTTCTTTGAAGAATGACATTGAAATTTTGATTGGAATAGCATTGAATCTGTATATTGCTTTTGGTAGGATGGCCATTTTAATAATGTTTATTCTCCCAATCCATGAGCAGGGGATGTCTTTCCATTTCTTTGTGTCTTCTTCTATTTCTTTTAACAGTGTTTTATAGTTTTCTTTGTATAGGTCCTTTACCTCTTTTGTTAGATTTATTCCCAAATATTTGATTTTTTTGTTTCGATAATAAAAGGGATGGTTTTTTTGATTTCTTCTTCTTCAGATTTATTGTTTGTGTATAGGAAGGCTACTGACTTTTGCGTGTTGATTTTGTATCCTGCCACTTTACTGAACTGATTGATGAGTTGAATTAGTTTTTCTGTGGAGTTTTTGGGGTTCTCTATGTATATTATCATATCATCTGCAAAGAGTGATAGTTTGACTTCTTCTTTTCCTATTTGGATTCCTTGGATGTCTTTCTCTTGTCTTATTGCTCTGGCTAGGACTTCCAGTATTATATTGAAAAGCAGTGGTGAAAGTGGACATCCTTGTCTTGTTCCAGATCTTAATGGAATTGCTTTCAGCTTTTCACCATTGAGAATGATACTGGCTGTTGGCTTGTCATATACGGCCTTTATGATGTTGAGGTACGTTCCTTGTATCCCAAGAATTTCAAGGGCTTTTATCATGAATGGGTGTTGCACTTTGTCGAAAGCTTTCTCAGCATCTATTGATATTATCATATGGTTTTTATATTTCTTTTTGTTGATGTGTTGGATAACGTTGATTGATTTTCGGATGTTAAACCATCCTTGTGTCCCTGGAATGAATCCTACTTGGTCGTGGTGAATTACCTTATGGATACACTGTTGGATTCTGATAGCTAAAATTTTATTGAGGATTTTTGCATCAGTGTTCATTAGGGAGATTGGCCTATAGTTTTCTTTTTTTGTATTGTCCTTGTTCGGTTTTGGTATTAGTGTAATGTTGGCTTCATAGAACGTGTTAGGTATTATACCTTCCTTCTCAATTTTTTGGAAGAGTTTGTGAAGGATAGGTACCAATTCGTCTCTGAATGTTTGGTAGAATTCATTTGTAAATCCATCAGGTCCTGGGCTTTTGTTTTTGGGGAGGTTTTTGATTACCATTTCAATTTCACTAATTGTAATTGGTCTGTTTAGGTGTTCTATTTCTTCTTTATCTAGCTTTGGTGATTGTAGAGTTGTAGGAATTTGTCCATCTCTTCTAGATTGTTAAACTTGTTTCCATATAACTGTTCATAGTAGTTATTAATAATTCTTTTGATTTCTGCTGTGTCTGTTGTGATTTCTCCTCTTTCATTTATTATCCTATTTATTTGTGCTTTCTCCCTTTTTGCCCTTGTGAGCCTGGCAAGGGGTTTATCTATTTTATTTATTTTTTCGAAGAACCAGCTCTTGGTTTCATTGATCTTTTGGATTGTTTTTTTAGTTTCGATTTCATTTATTTCTGCTTTGGTTTTTATTATTTCTTTTCTTCTACTGGTTTTGGGGCTTTTTTGTTGTTCTTTTTCTAGATCTTTGAGTTTCGAGATTAGGTTGTTTCTTTGAGTTCTTTCTTGTTTCTTGATGTGAGCATCTATTGCTATATATTTTCCTCTTATTACTGCTTTTGCTGCATCCCATACATTTAGGAAATTGGTGTCCTCCTTGTCATTCAATTCAAAGAATTTTTTAATTTCTTCTTTGATCTCATTAGTCCAGTGGACTTCCAGTAGTGTGGGTTTCAATCTCCACGAGGTAGGAGAATACCTTGCCTTCTCTTTATGGTTTATTTCTAGTTTGATGCCTTCTTGGTCAGAAAAGATGGTTGGTATGATTTCAATCTTGGTGTATCTGTTGATGTTTGTCTTGTGCCCCAGTATATGATCGATCCTAGAGAATGATCCGTGTGCGCTTGAGAAAAATGTATACTCAGATTTTTTTGGGTTTAGTGTTCTATATATGTCTGTTAAGCCTAAGCACTCTAGATCCTTATTTAGAGCTTTAGTGTCTTTACTTATTTTTTGTCTTGTTGATCTATCCATTGTTGATAGTGGTGTGTTGAAGTCTCCCACTACGTATGTGTTTTCTCTGATGTCTGTTTTCAGAGATGCCAATAGTTGTCTGATATATTTTGGTGCTCCTTCGTTTGGTGAATATATGTTAATGAGTGTTATTTCTTCTTGAAGTATTATCCCCTTGATCATAATGTAATGACCACTGGGGTCTCTTTTTATCTTTTTAAGTTTGAAATCTGTTTTATCTGATATGAGTATAGCTGTTCCTGCCTTCTTTTTTGGTCCATTTGCTTGTAGAATTGTTTTCCATCCTTTAACTTTGAGTCTATTTTTATCTTTTGCAGCTAAATGTGTTTCCTGGAGACAGCAAAAGGTTGGGTTTTGTTTCTTAATCCAGCCTGCAACTCTGTGTCTTTTTATTGGAGAGTTTAGTCCATTTACATTTAGAGTTAGTATTGATATGTTAGCATCTGTATTTGCCATTGTGTTTGTCTTTCCTTTGATTTTATTTATTTATTCTTTTAATAACTTTCTTTGGCCTTCTTTTGTTGTTATTCGTCCCTCTGAGGTTCTGGCTTTAGGACTCCTTGTAGTATTTTTTGGAGTGGGGTTTAGTCGCAATGAAATTCCGGAGTTTCTGTTTGTCTGGGAAGGTCCATATTCTTTCTTCAAAGAGGAAGGAGAGCTTTGCGGGATAGAGTATTCTTGGTTGGCATCTGTTTTCTTGGAGTCTGTTGACTATGTCCCTCCACTCTCTCCTTGCCCGTAGTGTTTCTTCAGAGAAGTCTGATGTCAGTCTGATTGGTTTCCCTTTGAATGTTATCTGTTTCTTCCCTCTTGTTAGTTTCATTATTTTTTCTTTGTCTTGGATTCTTGGGAGCTTTACTATTATGTGTCTTGCTGTATTTTTCCTTTCGTCATGGAAGTTTGGTGTTCTTCTTGCTTCTTGTATATCAATTTTCAGATCCTTCTTAGCGTTTGGGAAGTTCTCTTCAATTATATCCATGAATATTTTCTCTGTTCCTACATCTCTCTCCTCTCCTTCTGGGATTCCTATAACTCTTATATTTCCTTTCCTCATGGAGTCAGATAGTTCCCGAAGTCTTTCTTCGGTCTTTTTCCTTCGTACTTCTCCTTCCTTTTCTGTTTTAGTTCTTTTTATTTCTGTGTCTTCAAGAGTACTTATTCGTTCTTCCATTTCATCTATTCTGCTTTCACTGCTTTTCCCAGAGTTCTTTAGCGTCTCCATTAATTCTTTGATCTCCTGCATTTCTTTTACTTCCCTCTTTAGGGACTCAATTTCATTCTTCTGGTCATTAATTATTTTCCCCTTATCATTGTTTTCCTTTATGACTTCTGTCAGTTTTTTAATCACAGCAATTTTAAATTCTCTATCTGGAAGGCTCAGAAGTTCTTCCAAGTTACTGTCGTTGCAATCTGGTAGATGGTTTTCTTTTTGTGGTGTGCTATTTTGCTGAGGAGTTGCTGGGTTGCATGTTGTTTTTCTACTCCCTACTGCCTGTTTTCTAATTTGCCGTATTCCTTGTGACACTGTGTTGCTGGTACTGGCCGGCATCTTGGGCGACCTTCCCAGCTCACCACTGGCTCCTCTGGGGAACTTCTGCTGGGTTCACAAGTCTCCAGCAAAGACAGGTCCCTGCTCTGTCTCCTCGGTGAGCCTTCTGCTGGGTTCACACAGTCTCCAGCAAGAAGGGTCCCTGCTGCAAAATGCCGGTGCGCGCTCCCCTGCACGCCCGGTCTGCCCCAGCGGTGGGTGCTGCTCCCTCTGGGCTGAACTGCAGGCTAGAAGGCGCCCAGCATGGGCAAGCCTCCCAGCTTACCTCTGTCTCCTTGGTGAGCCTTCTGCTGGTGCACACAGTCTCCAGCAAGAAAGGTCCCTGCTGCAAAATGGTGATGCGGGAACGAGCTCCCCTGCACGCCCGGTCTGCCCCAGCGGTGGGTGCTGCTCCCCTCTGGGCTGGAACTGCAGGCTAGAAGGTGCCCGGTGTGGGCAAGCCTCCCAGCTTAACCTCTGTCTCCTCGGTGAGCCTTCTGCTGGGTTCACACAGTCTCCAGCAAGAAGGGTCCCTGCTGCAAAATGCCGGTGCCGGTGACGCGCTCCCCTGCACGCCTGGTCTGCCCCCCCACCCCCTTTTCATTCTGGCAACCACCATTTGGTTCTCATAATCCAAGAGTTTATTTTCATCTTGTTTTATTTGATTGATTTATTTTTTTAATTTTGTTCTTTTTTTAAGAGTCCCAGGTGAACAGCTTAGATCAATATTCCTATAAGTTACCTTATGATCACCACCTTTTAATTACCGCTTTATATCTACATTCCCATAGATATACAGTGAGTATTTTTTGAGAACATCTATCAAACGAACTTTGTGTTCTTAGATTTCCGCTGAAATACTGGGACCAGAAGCTTCCACATAAACTTCCTCCATTAAAGGAACCAGTACCTCTTACTAGTCTTCCTTTGCCTGGGTATCTGGAGCAGGTTAGTGATTCATGAACATGAGACACTTTACAATTTTCCCCAAAAAATAAACAGATTCTGGGATACATGATATTGTATGTATTTGTGTGTGTGAGAGAGAGAGTGTGTGTGTGTGTGTATAAGAACAGTACAATTCTTCCTTAACAATAATTTTTTTTTCTTATTTTGGTACCAATAAAATTCAAGGCAGAGATTTTTTTTTCTTAATTTGAAGCTGTAAATTCAATCATAACCTATTTTTTGTGTGTCTGAAATAAAATGTGAGAAAAAAGTCCATGCTTCCATTGCTAATCCCCAAATATCTACACTAAAGTGAAGAGAAAATAGATTGTCATACAATCATTTATATCGGATATGTAGTTTGGCCCTAATTTTGAATTTCAGTGTCTGTAACACTTTTTTGAGTTTGAATTGTGCAGTTTCTACCTCTGAGATATTTATTCATCGCTCGGATTGCTAAATTACAGTTCCTTTAAACTGACCCACCAAACCCAGATTTTTCTCAAAATCCAGATGAAGCCATCTACTCAAGTCTTTTTATTTATCTAAATATAGTACTTTTACAAAATAATAAAACTCACACCAGTCACTTATTTGCATGAACTTTGGGACCTTAAGTTTTGGGGGAGTCAAACACTGTATGAAGAATTTCCACTGGGGATGGGGTGGGGATTGGTACCCCTAATCTCTACATTGTTCAAAGGTCAACTTATTGTTAGCTGTTGGCTAAGTGGTCACCTAACCACCTTTATAAACACAACCACTGGAGGCTATTTGAGGTGAAGAATAGCCACTTTATCTATTTGCTAAGAAGAAAAGAGACCAAACTCAAACTGAAGTTGTTTCCTACCTGCAGGGTATGGCAACTTCTCTGATTAAAGCAATGAATGCAGCAGGAAGCATAAAGCCCAAATTCCCTTTCTTAAGTGTAAGAAGATCTGTGCTACTATTTATAGCATTTCATCTAAAAGGTACGTCCTTTTTAATGATATGCTGGTGGGGGGGGTAGGGGGAGAGAGAGAGTGAGAGAAAGAGAGAGAGAGATTTTAATGAAAATCCAAAACTGGTTTTCTATTTTTTTAAAGATTTATTTATTCATTCATTTATTTATACAAGCACGGGGTACAGTCAGAAGCGCGGGAGGGTGAGAGAATTCACCAGAGCCAGAGTGGGGAGCAGAGCAGGCAGAAGGACCGAAGTACGCTGCTGAGGGGAGAGGTCTGCGCGCTATGCGGGACACTCCTCTGGAGGCCGGGTAGCAGCCCGGGATCAAACCGGCGCCGCAGAGCCTGCGGCCAGATTCACAGCCCAGCGTTCAACCGCTGCGCCACCAGGGAGGCCCTGGTTTTCTAATTCTTAAAGCAGGAACTATGAGTAATACCGTCAGCTCTCAATAATTCATGCCACAGAGGAAGGTACAGAAGTGATTATGATATAAAATAGAATAATCCCCAAAGCTTATTTGGGGTTTGGATGTCTTCTCAGCTATAGCCTTACAACTCACACATTGTCTTTAATTTATCATTCACTAACCGAACGGAAAATATTCACAGTTCTGTGAAATTTTCTACAGCCTTTAATCCCAAAGGTTCTGAATATTCAAGAAAAAAGTACAAGAGGAAGATGGAGCTGTTTTTAGAGAGATGTGAACTCATCACTTACCTGAGTGCCAAGATGACTAAAAAATACAAGGAACCTCAGTTTAGAGCCATTGACTTTGATCATAAATTACAGACCTTTGTCTCTCTCAGAAATATAGACCCAGCTAATGAATAGCTTGCTTGGTAACTGCAACCAGAATCTCAAGTTATCTGAAAGAGATAAAAGGAAGTAGATTGAAGATCTGATCCCCTCTGATGTGTTTTTCCCTCCTGAATGAAGTAGCACTTCATTTTGAGTCTGCCAGCCTTCAAACAGACTCAAAGCCCTGCCAGGCAGGAAGGCGTGCTCTTTCATAAGCACACATTTAACATCATTTTAAAGTTTGTTCCTCATAGCCTGATCTTTCATACTTTAACAAAATAGTTATTCCATTTAGAACTCCATTTAGAATATATAACTTAATGTATGTAATAAAGCTATTGTTCCTTTTCCTCTTTAACATTTTCAGTAGAAAAGTCAGTTTCTGCTCAAGAAAGCTACCAATTTATTGTTAGAAAGCTTCAAGAAAGAAAGTTAATGGTGATGTAAATAAACAGAAATATTGATTATACTTTTCATATAGGAGTTGTTAGCAAACTTTTAAATGTAAGACACTTCATTATTTTCCCCACAAAATAAATGAATTTTGAGATAACTTAAATGGTTGCCTGTTTTTCCTGAGTATTAAAGTAAGCCAGACAATTATAAATCAGAGACATCCTGCAGGGGAGGAGGCGGGAGAGGGATCAGAGGGAGGGAGGGAGGAGCACAGGGGACTGAGGTGATGGTGCACAGGTGCATTGGTGAAGGGAACTCTGTGGGGACTACACCTGAGTGGGTGGGGGGAAGCAAATATTGTTTAAAGATGGACAATGATGTAAAAAATAAAAAAAACAATATTTTAAAAAATAAAAGTGTACACACACACAATAAATGTATAAGACAAAAAAGAAGTACACGCTAGATGAAAACTTATGAAATTAAATTTTAATGAGATTTAAAAAATAAGAGTAGCCATTTTTCAGCAGCAACATAAAAACTAAAATGTGAAATAGTAAGAGTGACTCTTCAAAAATCAAAAATGAGTGTAACTAGGCAAATCTCAGTTTCTCTGAGAATGTTTCTTAATCTCTGAAAATGAGTCAATTAGCTCCTTTTTCCCAGCTTTATTAAGACATAAATGACAAAATTATGTATTTTAAACATATACAATGTGATTTGACATAGTATATTTTATGAAATATTCACCTTTTTATCAAGTCAATCAATACAACCGTCACACAGTTACTTTGTGTGTGTGTGTGTATGTGCATGCGCATGTGTGTATGCTTTAGAGTACAAAAATTGTTTCTCAAGAAAATCTCTTTGGAGCCAGTGACCATCCCTCTCATATGCACTTACCCCTCACCATTAATGTTACCAAGTTGTTTTTTCCCAGCAAATTAGGTCAAGCAATCTGTCACTGACAGAATTAGCATTTCAGCAATGGGAAAGAAAAATATATATAATTCTAAAATTTCTTATTGAAATCACCCCATTGTTTAGAAATTATTCTTGCATATTATTATAAATTACCCCAAATACAATGAAAGAACATTCTGAGTGTCTAAGAACCCTAAATTTCTTCCCTGAGTAAGTATTGTAGTTTTTAAACATTTTCAATTTTATTAATATATTTTATTTTACTCTCAATTCATTTAACAAAGTTTTCCATGCATTCAATTATAAAGGGAAGGAATACGGAAATAATATGATGTGTTCAAGAATAAGGGAATACTGAAAAACTGAAGACTGTAAAACACCTTTTACATATGCATGCCTTTGTCCAGTGTAGGTGATTTTTTGTTTGGTTGTTTGGTTGAATCTGCTTTTACAAATGAAGGCCTAAGTAAAGGTATATCCATGAAACCTGAGAGTCCTTAATTTTGGGTGGTTCAGGGAAGAATTCTTAAAGGGATAATATCTGATTTAAAGGAATCTTTTGGAATCTAGGCAGATAAAAATTAGAGAAATAGATAAAAACTGACATTCTAATGACAAGGTGAAAGGCATTCCAGGAATTAATAAACCCATAAATTCACCAAATCTATCAGCCAGGAATATATACTCATGTGTATTTACAAGGAATTCTCCCATTCTAGAGCAGGAGATAAAAATATAAGTGACATATAACATCCACCACTATGTAGCGCAAGAGATGCAGGGCCTGGAAACTGGAGCACTGCTGAATTAGTGCAATAAAATCCCTAGAAAGTGCTTCATAGTCCATATAAAATTGGCTTTTGGCATTGAGCATAGTCAATTATTCTTGCATTCCCCTCAAAACTCTTTGAGTCATGAGTCTTGGATCGTTATTTCTTTCAGTTGCAGTTTTCAGCTATCCATCATAGCCTTCAAAGATGTTTTTAATGCCCTTGTAGTGACAAAGCACTTCCACCAGTCTCTACTTTCCAGGTGAGCATGACCCTTTTCTTCCTTCAAACTCCTTCCAGGCTGTCCGTTGACCCTGTCCACCAAGGTGCCAGTAGGTACGGGACTCTGTTGATGAAGTCCTTTCAGCCTCCCATGGCCAAAAGATGGGGAGAATGATAGAGATTGGATTTGGAACAGAAAGAGAATAACTCTGAATAACCCTCTTATCTATCACTAGCCATTTTGTAATTGATCTTATGATAAGTTCTATTCTATATATCATAACTGACACAGGAGGTCATTGGAAGGTTTTCTTAAAGGGACTGATAAAATCAGATTTTTTGATAACTGTAATATTAATATCGCAAATACTGTTCTTATCTCTGAACTCCAGACTCTTATCTAAAACTGCCTACTGAATATCATTACTTAGTTACTAGTTGACATCTCAAATTTAATATGTCTACCTCATAATTGTCATCTACTCATATTCTCTTCCTGCAGTTTTTGCACAGATCAGCTAATGGTGATACCATGCACTCAGTTGATTTGGCCCCAAACCCAAGACTCATGCTTGGTTGTATTCTTTCCCTCACAGTTTCTGCCATTTCCCCTCTTTTTAACTGTACCACTTCCAGTCTCACAGCCTTGAAGCTTGTTTTTCCTTCACCTGAAACATTCTCATTCCAGATCTACACAGCTGGCGCCATATCATTTAGATCTCAGCTCAAATGTCATCCTATCCTGACTTCCCTTTTCCTGTCAGAGTCCATCGTCACTCCTTATAAAATTTAACACTCCCTGAAATTATATTATTTATTTGCTTTAATTATATTATTTATTTGTGTCCTGTCACTCCTCCGTCAAATGCAAGGGCTTTGTTAGTTGCTGTCTCCCCAGTACCTGACAGTGCTTGACACTTAATAGGCATTGGATATTTGGTGGGTGAATGTTGGCATTTGTAATCCTGCTCTGCAAGATTAAAAGTCATGAAGCACCTGTTGGGTCCTTAACAACAACAACAACAACAACAAACATTTCAAGAAAAGTCAGCATGAATCCTAAACAAACTTGTCTTGAGGAAAGGGCTGGACTCTGCTTTGAGTGGTTGATATTGGAAGATCCTCCAGATCCTCATAGAACCTGTACTCAAGTAAGCAATGACTAAATGAGGGAGTGGGAGAAGTTGGCTTATCCACAGAGTCCCCTTCAGCAGCTTGATTAAGGATCTTTGGAAGACCAGTGTTTTCACTGCGATCCTTGTGGCAATGAGAAACACTGGAGTAAACAACTCCTTGGATTGACTTCTCTCCCAGCTGGTGTACAGCAGTCAGACATCTGCCATTCTAGTTGGACCCCCATACATCCTGGAGTTTAAGGGCAATTCAGGATGAAGGGAAAATCTCAAAGGGACATGTGTAGTTTAAACTAGTTTTAATAAATACCAGTAAATTTTCAAAAGACTCAGGTCAACAATTACACCTCTAATTTCAAAATCATGGAGGCTATAGCTGGAATGCTGAGGATCTTGAAGTGTGTGTGGAGAGGGGGGAAGGGATATATTATAAGCAACTTGGTACTGGGAAAGATAAATTGAGAGAGAAAATGCTGATATAGGTGGAAAGAGAATTGGGAGGGAACTGGACTTGGGAGGGCCTTGTAGATCATATCAAGAAGCTTGGCTTTTATCAAAAAGGCACCCTAGGAGCCACAGAGGATTCTAAGCAGGGGAATAACTCCAGTCTCTGGATGTGATACCTACTTGGTATTAGAGAGAACGTGTATTAGATAGAACTTCGCTGTCACTAAGACTAGTTAGAATCCCTTAATGGTTGATTGAAGAAAGATGTGAAAAGGCTGAATAATAACGGCGATTTTAATAATAGACATGAACTAAGCTAGGCACTTTCCAATAATCCCATTACATACTACATCTTGTTTACCCCAGAGCAACCCAACCGAGTTGTCACTAGCCAACATCTCTATTTTATAGGTAAGATTAAAAAAAGTTAAGAGAATGAGTAACTCTTCCAAGATCATTCAGTAACCAGATCTGTTTGCCTAAAGCGCTCTCTTCAATGTCTTGGCCAAAACTATTGGAAATAGGTAATAAAAGGAGAAGGGAAATGTGAAAAATATTTTTTGAGGTAAATAATGAATATAGTATTAATAATAACTGGGGCCTCCCTGGTGGCACAGGGTTTTAAGCACCGCACTAAGAAGCAATCTGCGGCATCTGCAGCAAGAGTTCCATCCCCAGCCCGCCAGGAAGCTACCCACATGGCACAGCAGACCTCTCCTGTCTCCCCCACTGCTCCTCTCAGCAGTGTTTCAGTCAGTCTGCCTGCTCTGTTCCCCACTCTGTCTCTGGTGAATCCTTTCACCTCCCACACCTCTGGCCTATACCCCAGCTCTTGTATGCATAAATAAATAAATCTTAAAAAAAGGATAATGCATTAAAAATAATAATATAACTCTACATAATATGTAACACAATATTACTATCAACAGAGTATGATCATGATATTCTGACCACAAATTCAAGACCTTAACGCCATCTTCGGCATCTAGGAAGAGAGTAGGATTGATAAAGTAGTCGGTGAGGAGCTAACGGTCTAGCATGATATAAAGCCTCCAAATTGATGGGAGACCACGCCATCTCTGCCCACGGTCCCCACGCACAGTAAACAGGAAGCGGCCAGGCCCCGCCCCCCGCGCAAGGGCGCCTCTCCGGGCCACGTGGTCCAGCGTCTCCGCGCAGGCGGCGCCCGGCGCTTCCGGGTTGGCTGCGGCGCGGCGCTGGGGCAGAGTCCTGTGGTGCGGGAACCCCGGCGGCTTCCGGGTGGAGCTGGGGGCCAGAGTGGGCCCCGCGTGGGTGCGCCCGCCAGGCCGCCGGGTGGGTCGGTCGCGGCCGGGACCCCGCCGGGCGCCGCGAGAGGTAGGTCGGCCCCGGGCTCGCCGTGCGTGGCGCGAGATCCGCGGCCGTGTGCACCTCCCCCCCCAGTCGTCCGCTCCCCGGTCCAACCCGCGGGGCCTAGGGCTGCGGGGGTGGGCCGGCCCCCCGCCCCCGCCCCCGCCACGGTGCCGGCAGGAGTCGCCCTGCCCGCCGCCGCGCGCCGTCTCAGGCGCCGGTGTGGCGCATCCACGCCGCCCTTCCACAGCGAGGCCCGATGACCCTTACGGGGCTACCGTACTGCGACTCCCTCAGAATTTACTGAGCACCTGGACATGGTCTCCCCTCCGCTGCATATTTTGTTCTCAAAGACAGAATGGTCAAGAGTTTGTGAACTCGGCACACCCATTTGTGAGCTAGTTCTCGTTCTGGTGTTGGTGCAGCTGTAGAAAGTTGGTGCTGTGAAGGACGTTGCTCCCCACCCCGTCATTGTGCAGAGGCGAAAACACCCTAAGAGGTAACTTAGATGTTGGAAGTGCACCCAGCTGGGAAATAGTACAGCAGAAAGGAGGGCCCAAAACTGAGTTTGTAAATAGATTTGGAAAGTGGTAAATGGTCAAATTTCACCAACAATGGGAAAAGTAGGTTCTTTTGAGCAGGGATTAACCTTTTAAGACAGTGTTTCTTCCTATATAAACATTTTCTTATTTCATTATAAACATTTCTTATTTCTTGATTTCTAAGGAATATGGCAGAAACATCATCAGAGCCACCTGGGCAGCTTGTTGTACATTCAGACACTCACAGTAACATGATCCTGGCCAGTTTTGAGGATCAGAGGAAGAAAGGCTTTCTCTGTGATATTACATTAATCGTGGAGAATGTACATTTCCGGGCCCACAAAGCCTTACTTGCTGCCAGTAGTGAATATTTCTCAATGATGTTTGCTGAAGAGCGGGAAATCGGCCAATCCATTTATATGCTGGAAGGCATGGTTGCTGATACGTTCGGTATCCTGCTGGAATTTATCTACACAGGGTATCTCCAGGCGAGTGAGAAATATACAGAACAAATCTTGGCTACTGCTCAGTTCTTAAAAGTCTATGATCTGGTAAAGGCTTACACAGACTTTCAGAGTAATCATAGTTCCCCAGCACCAACGACTTTGAACAATGCTGGCACTCCAGTGGTGGTTATTTCTAATAAGAAAAATGATCCTCCAAAGCGGAAACGGGGAAGACCAAGAAAAGTCAACAATTTGCAGGAGGGGAAATCAGAGCTGGCTGCAGAAGAAGAAATACAACTGAGAGAGAACAATTCAGTTCAGAATAGACAAAACTTTGTGATTAAAGAGGGAGACAATGGCATAAATAATGAACAGCGTCCAGCAAAAGAAATAGAAGACTCTGAGCCAACTAGAGGGGAGGAGATGCCTGCTGAAAAAGATGAGAATTGTGATCCCAAGAGCCAGGATGGGCAGGACAGCCAGAGTCGGCACAGCAAGCGAAGGATCCGCAGGTCCGTCAAACTTAAAGATTACAAACTTATTGGGGATGAAGATGACCAGGGTTCGGCTAAGAAGGTCTGTGGAAGGAAAAAGCGCTCCGGTGGCCCTGAGGCCCGTTGTAAAGACTGTGGCAAAGTCTTTAAGTACAATCACTTTTTAGCTATCCACCAGAGGAGCCACACGGGTAATTACACTTTCACAGCTCATTGGAATGTGTTTGGGAGTAGTAATGATGATCATAGCTTTCATTTATTGTGCAACTTCTATGTGATGGGCATTGCAATAAAGCCTTCCTACATGTTACTGCATTTAATTCTCACAACTATCCTTTGAGAGAGATTGTTCCCATTGTACTGATCAAGATGCCAAGTGCTAGAAAGCTTAAGTAACTTGTCCAGGTAATCCCTTTAGTGACAGCTAGAATGTGAACCCAGGTAGCTTGATTTGAGAATCTATCTTATTTGGAGTTGCTGGTTCAAGGTTTTGTCCAGGTATCACTAACTAGCCAAACTCATTCTGCTTTCAGACTCTTGAATGTTCCTCATCTTTACCATAGCTATGCTGAGGCCCAGGTCCATCTGCACAGCTTTCTCTCTTAGCTATCTAGCTGTAAATGTCTTCCTCTTTTTGGTCAACCTAGGCCAGCGCTGGCCAACAGACCTTTCCTGTGATGGTGGGAATGTTCTGTGTGTGTACTGTCACAATTAACTACATGTGGCTTTTCAGCACTTGACATGTGACAAGTGTAAGGAACTGAATGTTCTATTTTAAGTGGCCATTCTTGGACATTGTACCCATAAGCAGAAATCCTTTCCTCCTTTCAGCCCTCTCATATAGTTAACTCATTCTTTAAATTGACATTTAAATATCTCTTGACTTAAAATTAAGTTTAAGTATAGGAATGGTGTGTAAGTCTTCTATCATCCAGCAACTTGCTGTATTCTGACTCAGCAGCACCCAGGCTTGTTCTCAGCCTGGCCACGCACAAGCAGCACCTGGGGAGTTGATAAAACTGCTAGTGGGGCCACACCCTCAGAGCACCTGTTTCTGTTTTCTGGAGCCATCTTGTTTCTAAAAGCTCCCCAGAGAATTTTAGTACAGATGAGGTGAGCGCCCTGAATTCTGATTCTTCAAACTGGACAAATAGACACCTGAGAAATACTTGTTGCCCTGTAAGAGAGTGTGTGTTCTATATCATTTGTCTAGGAAAATAGCATGTAGGCACTGCCCTTTTGCAGTGAATCACTTTAGTGTGGTCTCTGTTCCATTTGGGTAGAGACCAGCTGATACTCCTAGCTTTTATTCCAGAAAAATTTTTTGAATTATTTCATAGATGATTTCTCCTGTTTGCTCTGCTCTCTCTTGAACCCCCACTATGTGCACATGAACTTCCCTGATCCATTGTCAAACTTTCCATCATTTTTTGCTCTATTTCCTGGCAGATTTCCACTTTTTCAGTGCTTACAATTCTTCCATTTTTGCTATTTATACTTCTAGGAGCTCTTTATTGTTCTCTAAACTTGTTTTACTAGTATTTTCTTTTTGTTTCACAATGTAATTTCTTACCTCTGTGAGCATGTGAATAATAGTACTTGCTTATTTGTTAGTGTTTAACTTTCTTCACCCTGGGCAAGTCTCTGTTCTCTGCAAGTCTCTGGCTTTCTTGTCTGTTTTGGTATCTGTGTAAATTACTAAAGGCCTTCCCTGACTGGTGATTTTTTGTTAAATCATATTTAATCATGCACAAGCATAATTAAAGGCTACTGGCAACTCTGCCATGTTGAGAGGTCCTGTGGACAATGGCCTCTCCAGAGGTGGCAGCCCCCCTACCTGGCTGATGCCTGCCATCACCTCTCACCTTGGGCCCTTCACGTTCAGACTCTCCACTCTCCCACCTAGAGGCTGTAGGGCAGGATGGAACATATACCAGATGTTGGGAATGGGGAGAAAGGCTGGAGAAAAAAGGGAATCTTCATCTTCCCAAATACACTTTGACTTGCTTTCAACCCTTTGATAGTCCAGCTCCACTGTGCTTGGAGACCTCCAATCCAGAGGCCCTGAGTCCACCAACCCTTTTTTTTAACCCTCTTCTGTTTGGGAGAAAGTGTCTTCTGGCTGTGTGGAATAGGACAATGGGCCTGGGAAGTCCACCTACCTTTGAAGCACACTGAATTATCGTCCCTGACTCCCATTTTCAGAGATAATCAGGTGCCACCAATTCCTGAGCCTTACGAGTCTCTTAAATACTGAGGTGATCTCAGTACTCCTCACCGCTGGCATGATCTGTTCCACATTCATCTGTTCCAGCTTGCAAACTTTTATTGCTGATATTTTCTCTCTTGTTCATTGGTTTTTAGGATGTGTGCTTTTATTGACATTTTAGTTTGGGAGGGAAAATAAGTATGTACAGATTCTTGTTTACACCATTTTTCTGGGCTCTGATTCCAGGGGAGCGGCCTTTCAAATGTAATGAGTGTGGAAAAGGCTTTGCCCAGAAGCATTCCCTGCAGGTCCACACCCGGATGCATAGGGGTGAGCGGCCATATACCTGCACCGTGTGCAGCAAGGCTCTCACCACCAAGCACTCGCTGCTGGAGCACATGAGCCTGCACTCAGGTAGCCGGGCTTATCCCAGGGGGCCAAATGCCAATAGCTTCTCTTTCTCAGGGTGGGCATTATCATGATCTAATGGTATAATTTCCTACGTGGTGTCATGGAAGAATAGGATCATACATCTGTCAGAGTGTAAAGTTGAAGTCTTATACAGCATTGAATCTTAAATGGGGGTTTCTAAACCGGCTACTGGAATTGTGGGGGTCAAACATGTTTGTGTAACTACCAGAGTCTAGAATTATATTCCTTTGGATGCCTTGGAGGGGAAGTTTGAGTTCTCCAGGTCTACTCCTACTCCCTTATTGCCTGATATACCTTTGCTATCCTAGTATTATGTTTTTTATTCGGCAGGACAGAAGTCTTTTACCTGTGATCAGTGTGGAAAATATTTCAGCCAGAAAAGACAATTGAAGAGCCATTACCGAGTTCATACAGGTATAATATTAAAATAAAAATTGAGCTTGCTGGGGGAGAAATGCATATGTATTTCTGAAATATTAGTTTCATATTGTAGAAGATAAAGAAAAGAGTCTTAGGAGCTTTTTTGGGGGGGAGAAGAATCTTAAAAAGCAATCTAAAATAAATGTCCTTATGTTATTCTACAGAATTGGTGCCTTTCAAAAGTTCCTCTTGCCAGTTGACTATTAGTGGCACCTAGCCAGAGACATCCCTACCCCATAGCTGTCAGTCCAGGCTTCTCCCATCTGCCTCTACTCCTTGTCCTTTTTCCTTCCCTGCCAATTGATAAGAAATGAATGGAGGCAGGGGGTTGCAATTGGAGATCAATCGGCCAATCACATGAGTACTTCAGCAAGAACATTTTATTTATAGGGAGACTGGAAGAAGTCCAGCTTTCTTGGGAAAGCAGAGTTGAGATATATAGGAAAATATGAAGTGTTAGCAAATTAATTTTGAAAAATATTGTCCCATTAAAGTACCATATTTAAAGTGATTATTTTTCAGGGAAGTGCTTTAACACAGATCACTGAAGAAGTGCAGGGAGAGCATATATGCACTGACACTTTTTTTATTGTTGCGACAAGGCCACTCATTACCGGAATGCAACCACTGCCATCGCAAATTCATGGATGTGTCTCAGCTAAAGAAACATCTGCGAACACACACAGGTAAACCACCACCTCTTCCTTTTTAGTACATTTTATGTTTTCAGGCTAGTGAAGAAGGAAGTACTTGGAATGCTCTCCCCAGACTGTGTCTATTGTAAATTGGGTGGGGGTTTTATAAGTAGATCATTTGAAAGTCCAGAAGAATACTGTCAACACTGACCCATGGGAGTATACATCTCCGTAGGCTAGCAAAACAGGTCACGTACTGAGTACTTTTCTCGTATGAAAATTCACTTAAAACCACAAAAGAGAGCAAGTCTGAGTTTGATTCTGTGTTTCAGTCTTAATTTACTTCAGTATTGAAGATTATCAAATAATTTTTTATAGAAAATGAAACAGGCACAAAATAGCATAGGCACTGAGGATTTTTCTACTTTATCCCTAAGATCAGTACGTAAAACTTCGGCATTGCCTCCTCTAGAAGAAGCACCCTCAGGGCTGGTGATGAGGCAGGTTTAATGGGGGCAGGTTAAATTCTTTTATTTAAGATTAGAAAAGTAAAAATGTGGGCCTTTCAGGCCTTTCTGCAAAGACCCTTAAAAATAAACCTGTTAGATTTTCTAAGAAAAACTTTGTACTGTAGGCATTATTTAATGATTATTCAATTGTCTACTAAAATTATATCTCACATTGAAAACACAGTTTTTCATCTTAAAGATAAATATTTCATTGCCATTAGATTGGACAAATATATTCTGTTGGTGGGAATATAACCTGGGAACTTTGTGTAAAGAACTCTGGTGATATTTATCAAAATGTAAACTCCCAAATTGTGAAAAGATGTTTGCATAAAAATATTCACCATGGACAGGGTTGTTTGTAATTACACAGGCTTCAAAGTGACCGCAAGTCTGTCAGTAGGGGATTAGTTAGGTCAATTTTGGACAAGATGCACAGTGGAACACAACACATCTTTATAAAATGGTGACGTGAGTTTGATAGTCAGATACACATGTCCTTGACAGTCTTGTGACTTAAAGTTATGTACTTGGTTGTACGTGCACAGAGAGGTCTGTAAAGATGTTCATCAAAGTGTTAACTGCTCCCTCAGGAAAGGGGAGTCTGCAGTGGACTTTACATACTTTGTACTTTTCAGTATTATTTGGGTCTTTTTTTATATTGAATGTGGAAGAAAACCCTGGAGTTATTTCTGTTGGCATCCCCCTGCGTGGAACCTTTAAAGTCATACTCCTTTCTCTGCCTTTGCATTTAATTGCTGTTGTTCAGTTCTCCTATGATCAACTTTGTTTTGGTCTCACTTTGACCCAAATCTGTTAACCTTGTTTTATTTTTTCCCCCTTCCTCTCCATCTTCCCCCTGCACCTCCTGGTCCAGCACTTCATGTGTGCATTAGTGCAGGAATTTCTACCTGGTCCTACTGCCTGCAGCCCACTATATTTATCACCCCCATATTTATTTTTTTAGTACTTTTAGCAAGTCATTCTTTTATAAACTTATAGAAGTTCCACAGGTCCTGTGCTTGGGGATGGTGGCTCTTCATGGCCTGGCCTCACCTGTTAGCTCCTCTACTTCTCAGTGTATCCTCATCCCTCTGTGTCCACACATGTGGTCATTTCCAGCACCAGCTTTTGGATTGTGATATTTATTCATAGTACTTTCCAGGCTTCTCTCCCATCCAGCTAGATCCTGCCTCTTCCACATCCATCTTCCTGTCTGCACTCAGTAGTAATAACACACCTCATTTGACTGTTGCATCAAATGCAGCCCTATGTTACTTGATTGCGATGTGAATCTTAACCTCTCATATGGACCATATATTCTCTGAGGCGATGATCATGTCTTTTTATCTCTTAGCTCTGAACTTTGTTGATGGGTCTATCAGTGTTTTAGGATTGAATAAACTTAAAAGGAATGCATCACTTACTGCGTCACAGTTGATGCAATAAAGCTGTGTTACTCTGTTGCCAGAAAAAATCAGAAATCAGAGGAGCATAGGGAGACTTTCCCCAGATTCACCTTAAATAGGAAAATTTGTCATCTCAATGTCCTGCTTACTCCCTCAAAAAGCTTCACGTGGAGAATGTTCTTGGAAGGAACTTTCATTATTTAAAACATCTGCCTACAAAGACTTTCTGAGTTGTTGTAAAACCAGATGGAATGGAATGATTGTTATGTGTGTTTCCCACACAGAACTTTACAATGAGGAGCAAACAGCAGCGGGTACCCACTCTTTATTCTGAAGAGGCAAAAAATGAACTGAGATCAGAGAAGGCCCTAGCTCTCATCTGGAAAGCTATGGAAAGATATTGGCAGTGGCATGGTCTTAACTTTTGGACTAGTAAGAATTACTGATGCAAAGATGTAGTCTCATCCATGTTATCACAATGTCTTCTGCCCAGATGGAACTTGGAGAAATATCTAGCCTGAATTCTCCAGTAGAGTATGTGAAAGGGAGGCTACCTGACCATTCTTTTCCAATGGCACTTATCCCTTGGTGTTATCTAGCTAAGTTTGCTTCTTTTTTAATTCATAGTTCCTTTGCCTCCATTAGGATCATTTGGTTTTGTTGCTGGAGGGTTTGCCAATCTGTCACTCTACGTGCAGTGTACATACTAATGGTAAAGAAATGTTTGTTGAAGCTTTATCAATTCATAGTGAAGCAGTCATGACATCTTAAGTGGGCTTTTATTTCCAACCTGTGAAATTCATTCATTCAACAGGACTCTCTGGAACAGTGTACCAGGCCTGATTCTAGAACAAGACCACAAATTATCCTATAGAAGAATAGCAGAAATAGATAATAAGTAGCCTATACAGTATATGAAGCGGTGATAGCACTGTGGAAAAACCAACTCAGGGAAGTAGTCTAGGAATTGTTGAGGGTGGTAAAGTGACATTTGAGCAGACACTTGAAGCAGTGAGAGTGATCCATGTCAGGAGATCCCTGAGGGAGACTTGCCAGGGAGAGAGGACCCCAGCGGGGACTTGCTTAGGTATATCATTCAGTGACTCCCCAAGATGCCTGAGAGGCTGAGTCTGTGGGCATGGGGAGAGTGCCAGATGAGGTTAGAGAAATTCGAGGTGAGGAGTGAGGATGGGCAGACAGATCTCTGTAGGCCAAAGGTGTTGACTTTTATCTCAACATGATCTGTCTGCCTGAAGGGTCACTCCAGTTGCCACATCGATTGCAAATGACAAAGAAGCAGAACCTGAATTGGGGAGATGTGGAAGGAGGCTGCTGTGGAGAATTGGTGGTGGCTTGGGCCAAGGGTGACTGTGGAGGTGGTGCACAGGGTGGTGCATCCTTATGAAGGTCGAGAGGGCTCCCTTGCCAAGCACTAAGATATGAGAGTGTAAGTTAGGTAGGGTAGGCGACACAGGAGTAAATGTGGTCTGTACCTTTGTTCCTTACATGTCATTGCTTACCTTTTTGTTTCAACTTTTAAGTTTTTAAGGAAAAGAACTGCACCCTTATACTTTCTCTATCCTCGTGGCATCCAGCACATGGTGCTTAGGTACATACTAGGTGCTTGGTAAGTGCTTCATTCATTCATTCATTCATTCATTCATACATACATACTTATTGGAGTGAGAAATTAAGTGGATTTGCTTTTGTTCTTTTCTTATGACAGTATGAGTGGTTTTTACTTTTTTTTTTATATTGAATGAACATTTCTAAATGCCTTCCCTTTTTTAGGTGAAAAGCCATTTACTTGTGAAATTTGTGGCAAATCTTTCACAGCAAAGAGTTCTCTTCAGACCCACATCAGAATCCATCGGTAAAGCTTTGCAGATTTTCTTCTCACATGGGGTCCTCATTCAGCCCTGATGTTCAGTAGTATGACATACGTTACCTATATAGTCCTAATCCCCATATTATTACTCTGATAGAATTTTTTATGTAGGCAATTTTTTTGTCTTATCTTCTCAAGACAAAATCAAGAAAACAGGTTCTGGTTAACTGAAGTTTATATATGCATTTTCTCTGTATTTTATAGTTCTCTGAATTTTGATTCTGAGTGGGGGGGCCTGCTCTAAAGCTGAACTCTTCACTCAACATAAACATTAAATTTACTATTTACTGAGTAAATTCCTGTTCACAAAACTCACTTCCAGATTTGCTTTAGTAATTCTTCTAATAGCATCAGAAATAATTAGGAGTTTCTCAAACTTTTAATATTGAATTTTTTTTAAGACTTATTTATTTATACATATAAGAACTGGGGTGTAGGCCAGAGGTGCGAGGGGGTGAGAGGATTCACCAGAGACAGAGTGGGGAGCAGAACAGTCGGATCTACTGAAATAGCTGAGGGGAGCAGCAGGTAAGACAGGAGAGATCTGATGCACTATGTGGGTAGCTCCCTGGCCGGGGATCATGCTCACACCGCCGTGAACTCTTGCTGTAGTGGCTGGTGATAGCTTGATAGCGCTGAGATTTAACCCCTGTGCCACCAGGGAATCCCTAATATTGAAATTACAGATACTGATTTGGTCAATATAATCTAAAAATTGGCTAAAGCAAAACAAAAAGGAACTGTTTGTGATATATACATTTATTTTCTTATTTGAAATACTGTGAATCATAAAATTGTATCACATCTGGCCCAACCCCACCCACCTTTCTTCAAATACCACTCCCACCTAAAGTTCATGCAAGTTGTGACTTGCTCCAAGTCCTAAAGTTAGTATAAGAACCCATGACTTACGACTTCCAGTCAAGTCAGTTTTCCGCTCCTGTTGACTGCTTCTCCCTAAATAATTAAGTTATAAATTAGTTTCCTTCTGTTTTTTAAAAACGTTTATTTTCTTCTAGAGGAGAAAAGCCATACTCCTGTGGCATATGTGGCAAATCCTTCTCTGACTCCAGTGCCAAGAGGAGACACTGCATTCTACACACAGGCAAGAAGCCTTTCTCCTGCCCTGAGTGTAACATACAGTTTGCTCGCTTAGACAACTTGAAGGCTCACTTGAAAATCCATAGCAAAGAAAAACATGCCCCAGATGCTAGCAGTGTTTCTGGCAATAATACTGAAGAGGTCAGGAATATTCTTCAGTTACAGCCATATCAACTCTCTACCTCTGGAGAGCCAGAAATTCAGCTGCTTGTAACGGATTCTGTACATAACATCAATTTCATGCCTGGTCCAACCCAAGGAATCAGCATTGTCACTGCAGAGAGCTCCCAGAACATGACTGCAGACCAGGCTGCGAATCTCACCCTGCTCACACAGCAGCCAGAACAACTGCAGAATTTAATTCTTTCAGCCCAACAGGAGCAAACAGAACACATTCAGAGCCTCAATATGATTGAAAGCCAGATTGAACCCTCACAAACTGAACCAGTGCATGTAATCACACTTTCTAAGGAAACTCTGGAACATCTTCATGCCCATCAGGAGCAGGCAGGGGAGCTCCATCTAGCAGCAAGTGCATCAGATCCAGCTCAGCATCTGCAGCTGACACAGGAGCCTCCTCCGCAGCCTCCCACCCACCATGTGCCCCAGCCCAGACCACTTAGCCCAGAGCAGAGCTGACCTGAAAATATGTTTGACTGCTCTATTGGTCTCCTCTCTGTAAACCAGCTATAACAAGATTGCGGTTCAGACACTTTCTGAAATGCTCATTTGCAGATGCTTACAGAGATGTGATAGCCAATACTTTATAATACCTTCCGTCCAGGCAGCAAGATGGGTGTGTGATGTCTTATGTATAGTACTGATTTGGATTGTGTATTTTACTATTGAGGAATGGTTTCCATTTTCATCTATATCTTTTAAAAATGTTGCTAATATTTCTTTGAGGGCATTGATATAGACTCTTAGTTCTAATTATTAATTGTTCACAGCCATAGGTTATGGTCTTGCCAAACTTTTGAGTTATCTTTTTCATTTTTTAGAACGAAGAATGGTTAGTTCTACTTCTTCATTTCTCTTAGGCAATACAAATTGCCTCAGCCAAGTCAGGGCTGAACACGACGATTATAGCTTTGGGGAATCTGTCCTTTTAATAACTTCCAAACCCCCAAGAAAAACTAATTGTCAACATTTAATCTTTGTTACAGTAGACTCTTCGTGTCATGCTTAAAGTAGATTCAAAAACACTATATCCATTTAACTCAAAATTTATATAGCAAGAAAACCAAAAACATAAGATTATTTTTAAAATTTTCAACTTTGCTTTTCTGAGAAATATAAATGTATAAAATTGGATCAAGCCATTCATCCCAAATAAATTCTGGGTTTTGTCAGCAGTTGATACCGGGTCTTCATGATGAAGTAAAAGCTTTCTCAATTATTCCAGAATATAAATTTTGTTCAGTGTAATTTAAGTGTCAAATATATTTTACTGAATTCTAATTGATCTCTGAAAATGTTGATTTTTATTTTATACCTTAACTTTCTGGAGAGGGGAAGTTACAATAATCTATTTTTGTTGCAAAATCAGTTAAATTTCACAAGATGAACTTATCAATTTTAAATAATGGTGAAATATGAAATTATGTTTGGGTTAGGTTTTCAGTTTTATCATATTTTATTGAATATTTTGACTGTGGTCTCCAAAACTGGTACAGGATCTTTGAGAAAGGAAGAAGGTTATAAGGATATCTAAATTAGCATAATACTCATGAAGAGTAGGGAAAGTCTACCCTAAAATTAGTAAGATCTTTACCAGTCATTTTTTTATTTTAGGTATCTTTAATTACCATTTAAATTAAAGAGCACTTTTTGGAGATTAGAGAATTTGTCAGATTTTAGACATTCATACACATGTAAATTGTATATAATTCACGAAATTTCCAAAATGATACATGTCAAGAGGATTATATTAAATCAGGCCTAACTAGTGCAAAGGTGTAAGTTTTCACAAATGCACTTATACCATAATTACTATTTCAGGTTCTTAGTCATTTAAACTGCTTTAACTTGATTCTTAAAATGCAAAGTTTTTAATAGCTTTTCAAAGCCTACTGGCCCACATTTTCTCCAGAAGATACATCACAATCAAAGTAAATGAATGCTTAACTACTTACTCTGGTTAGCTGGATAATTATTCAGGAAGTAAATTCATATGACTGAAGTCAGGTTTAACTAGCTCATTGACAGTCTACTTCTTTGCTAAGAATATAATGGGAGCCACATAAACAATGTAAAGTTTTCTAGTAACCCCATTAAAAACATAAAAAGAGGTGAAATTAATTTTAATGTAAGTAGTTAGTCCAACTTTGCCAAATAGTATTATTTCAAAATGTAATATAAAGATGTATTAGTAAGATATTTTACATTCTTTTTTAATACTCAGTCTTCAAAATCTAGTGTATAATTTATACTTACTATACACTCACTTTGCATGCTGATATTCAATTGAACATTCTTGATCTGTATTTAGAGTTTGTTCAATACACAGTTGAAAGCCTACACTCAAATGTTACGTAGTTACAGATATAATTTTTTTTAAAGATTTATTTATTTATGCATATAAGAGCTAGAGTATAGGCCAGAGGTGTGGGGGTTAAGAGGACTCACCAGAGCGGGTAACAGAACAGGCAGATTGACTGAAATACACTGCTGAGGGGAACAGGGGCGAGTCAAGAGAGGTCTGCTGCACCATGTGGATTGCTCCCTGGCCGGGGATCGAGCTCATACTGCAGGGGCTGCGGACAGCTTCATAGGTTGCGAGTTAACCCTTTGTACCACCAGGGAGGCCCACAAATATAATTTTTTAATAACGAAAGTATCAGTTTTTTAACTTACATTAAAATCAAGTAAACTTAAAATAAAATGAAGTAAACTGAAAATCCAGGTCCTTAGTTCATGAGCCACATTGTGTGGACTCAGTGGCCCTGTGTGGCTAGTAGCTCTGACTTGTACTGCACAGGTGTATCTGTCTCTGACTTAAGAGCCAATCTCAGGCATAGGAATGTCTTCTGACAGTGTTTTAGGTTATTTCACTGTCACAGGGCAATCAGGAAATGATAGTTTTATAAAACTCACCTTCTGTATCCCAAATACACATTTTTGTCTGTTTGAATGAAATCCCCAGTTTTAAAGTTCAGTTAACCCTCCCCACCCCAAAAAAATGTTATGTACATCAAAATGTTCTGTTGGGTCTTTGAGATATTACTGGGGCAATATTTCACAACTTACTTTGAATTAAATATGTGCAGTTTCTAAAACTTAAGTGCAGAAATTGCACTTGGTTCTTGTGTTATAAATATTGTAACTGGTTAAATAACGCTAAGTAATACAATGAGAGTCTCACTGTAAATGCTTATATCTAGAGTTTCTGTAATTGGAGTAATAATATTGAGTCTGTAGTACAGGCCAGGAGTGAAGCCAGGTGCAATTAGATCTTTATCTTAGCATTTCTTAATTTTCATGTCACAAAAAGTAGGATTTGCATAGCACTCTGCAGTTAGAGGACTCCTATGCCCTTTGGACTTGACATGGCCCCTGTGGCACACCTTAACAACTTCTACAAACTTGATGACTTAAGCAAATTTTGTCACAGTTCTGAACAATGCAAGTCCAACATCAAGATGTTGGCAGGGTTGGTTTACTCTGGCCTCCTGGCCATCTTTCCATCCCTGTATCTTCATATAGTCTTCCCTCTGTTTGTTCAGTCTCCTTATAAGGACACTAGTCATTGGATTAAGTCCCAGCCTGATGATCATACTTTTAACTTCATTACCTAACTCCAAATGCAGTTGCATTCTGAGGTACTGGGGTTTAAGGGGTGGTAGGGATGGAGACACAATTTAGCCCATTACAACTGGCACCTGGAATAAGGCAGGAAGCTGTGTCTAGGGCACACCTATTACCCATTTGAAGCACAAATTTATTTTACTTAATCTTCATGGCATCCCTATGAGGTAAGTATCATTATGCCTATTTTACATTATGCCTATTTTACAGATGAGAACACAGTGGCGCAAACATTACATGTTAAATGGTAGAACTGGAGCACAGGGCTGACTGATTCTACGCTGCTACTTCCACCAGGTGGATGACTTATCAGCAGGTGTGGAACTTTGAGCTGGATTTTCTTTATGTATGATCTGCTTAATGTAATAGAACCTTTTTGACTGAAATTGAGAGTCCATGTCTGGAATTTTTATCATATAATCAAACTTTTGACATAAAATTATAGTGAAAGAGTTGTTTATAGAAACACAAAAACTATCAATATTCATATTAGTATTTATTATTGATTTGAAGCTTTATCAAAATTTACCAGTTGGATAAAAGTTATTACTCAAGAGAAAATGCCTTAACTAACATGAACCTCTAAACCCTTCTTTTTCAAACTTCTGACTAGGAATGTTATGTATTTAAGCAGATTTGTATATGCTTCCTTATCAAGTACTGAGACAAATTTCCCCCCTGAATTCCCCAAAAAAACCTAACTACTTAAGTATTGAAGTAAAAATTTTTGTCTTACTTTCATGAAGAGCAGGCATGGAGAAATGACCCCCAAAAAGAAATTCCCTTTGCCTCCCTTTTGTAAACAGCAGGTTTTACATAATAACCTCTAAAAGAAGCTGGAGTGTAACTATAATAATTTATCTTGCTTTTGAATTCTTTAGACATAATTAAGCACCAAGATCATTGATTCTGGCAAGTATTTGTATTTAAATATATAATGTGATATTTACATATAAATTTATAATTTAAATACATAAAAATAAAGTATTTTTAAGGTAACAGTAAGAGATCTTTATAGTAGGATTTTTTTTCCATGAGTCTGAAAAGCAGTCGATCATTCTGAAGTCTAGAAAGGGGAAAATTTGAGCAGGGAGGAGTCTCCAAAAGTCCTTGATTTTTGAGCATGGATTAGTATTTATTTTGTATTATTAATATCCATAAATTAGATAATTTTAACTGAGAATTTGAAGATTTTCCAAAAGAATAGTTTGGCTCTTGGTTTTACTTCATTCATATCTTACCCTTGTTAGATGAACACTTAAACTAAAGCTTTCCTTGGTGAAATTTAGGACTTTCAATCCACCTTTCAGATAATTCTAGTATGATTAAATGACTTCTAAATAAATTTTGCATATATTATTAGTGTTCGAAGTACAAAACTACTCTGATAAAAATAAGGGAAACTATTTAAACTAATCCTAAACCTATTTGTATTATTTTTTTTAAGATTGATTCATTTATGCATACAAGAGCTGGGGTACAGGCCATAGGTGCAGGGTGTGAGAGAGGATTCACCAGAGACAGAGTGGGGAGCAGAACAGGCAGATCTACTAAAATACACTGCTGAGGGGAGCAGCGGGCGAGACAGGAGAGGTCTGTTGCGCCATGTGGGTAGCTCCCTGCGGGGGATCAAACTTGTGCTGCAGTGGCTGCGGATAGCTTCATAGTGCTGTGCTTAAGCCTTAACCCCTAGCGCCACCAGGGAGGCCCCTATATGTATTATTAATCTTTGCAGGCCCTTAGGATGGGTCATTTGTGGACAAGAGGCCTTGGAGTCTCTTATCATGGTCATCTTCTGGCTTTGACTTCTGGGCAAGGTACTTGACTAAAATGCAAAATACAGAGAAAGAAGTTTGCAGGGAAGAGTAGTAATGAATAAGGGAGCCAAAGGTGTAATTCACTCACTACCAGCCAGGAAAGAAAACTTGGAGTCATTGATAGGGCCCTCACCCCTCCCCCCATCCCCACGGCCCAATCCAGTCATGCATTATGTCGGTTTTACCTCAGCCTGTATTTTGAACCCATCCACTCTTTCCATTCCCACTGTTGAGCCATTGCCTATACTGCCAAGGCCTGCCTGAACTTTCTACCCCTACTCCCAACTCCTTTCTCCACAGGAAGTGATGATCTATATGGACTCACCATTGTGTCCCTAGCTTCAAGCTAAATGATTGCTTATTATACTCTCAAGGCAAATAGGAGCATATTTGATCATACTCTGTTTAAAACCTTGCAGTTTTCCACTGTACTCAGAATGAAATCCAAAGTCAGCTTTCCTCTGGCCCCTTCCCCATTCTCACCCGCTGACTTCCCTTGTTCCTCCCACAAACACGCTCAGTGGTAATCACCTTCAGGCTCTAAAGCAGGCAGTTTCCCAGGCATGACTGTCAGATTGATGTGTCTGTTCAAAACTCAGGATGTCACTTCCTTGCAAAGGCCTGACTGTCTAATCTCAGTCAATCCACTCTACACTTTTGGCTCAGTTTGTAATTGTTTTTACATCAGGAGCTGTGCCTGGTCACACTGCAGTCACAGCTACCAGTCCAAGATTGGGACATACTGACCTGCAGTCAGAGTGGCTGACACGTCTCACTTGTGGTGCTAAGGACCTAGTTCCTGGTTCCAGGTTCAGGATATGAGAGGTTTGGAGGTGAGATAAGGATGGCATTGAAGGAAAACAGGTACCCTGGGGATTATGACCCAGGTTTAGGGCCTTGGCAACTGCTGGCATGATTATGTGCAGAAACATTAGGATAGGGTTCTTTTAAAACTGACTTTTGATATACCAGTCATTTATTTGATCCAATATGAATTGACCAATGTGATTGTGCCAGTATCTTCAGTTCTATACACACAAATAATGTAGTTCATGACTGAAAAATATTCTAATTCAGAAAAGAAACACTAGTGCTCGCTTTGGCAGCACATGTACAGAAAAGAAATATTTGCAGAAAAATAACAAATTTATTCTCTTAGCTGCCATAGAGGTGATTTTTTTCCTTTGAAAAAACTATAAATAGAGCTTCATTTGGGTCTTTAGTTTGTACATTTCTTAGGGTCACCAACATTGAATTTTAGCATTGAAGTGCTGAGGAGGTTCAGCAATTATCTATCTGTAAGTAGAGATGAGACAGATGCAGTGGTTGAAAACTTTTTCAAGGCCACTGTGGACTAGCAAAGCTGGAGTCTGACCAGACTTTCTGGATTACAGACCAGAGTTTTTCCCATTGTTTTTTCCTCCCATGTGTATCTTTAATTAGCATAAAGTGAAACACTAAGTCAGCAGCTTTTTAGCATTGAGGTCATTCTGTGATCTTTTTTAAAGACAAATTTTACCATCTGTCATTCAAAGAGACACATTACCCTGACTGGCTGAGACTGAAGGTCATTGCATCAAGGCCCAGACCCAGTGGGGCCTTTGCAAAGGCACTAAGAGCAGTTGGGTATTTACCATGTGCCAGTAAAGGGGAAGTGAGATAATTCTAAAAGCCTGGTAACCCATTTATAGTGGACTTTAGAAGCCTTTTTATAAGATGTATTTAAAAATGGGTGTGTCTGATATTTGACAACTTCATTTCAAGTCAAAGGACTAGTCACACTCCAGTGCTAGGATGGGCCCAGCTGGGAGGCTGCCCTAGTTTCCTGAGCAAGACCTGGCTGAGTTCCCTGCCTCTCCTTCCTGGCAGAGCAGGCATTTCCCCTTAACCTCCCTCCCCTTGCCTGCTTCTAGGCAGAGCTGGGAGCTTTGAGTGTGTAGGTCTTACTGGTTTCCACAGGATTTCTGCAAGAAAGTAAAGTGAGAATAAAGAGAAGGGAGAGCCATAGGGTACGCAGCTCATTCTGGCTGCCTGGATCTCAAGGAGAGTGACACAGTACTATTTACTCTTGAGGTTTGTTAGTGTGTCTGGTGTAGCAGTAATAAGAAACAGCATGTCAGCCAATAATGTGTCACCTTGGGTCAACACAGGTGTAGTGGAGTCCAGACAGAAGTGTGTCTCATCCTGGCTCTGTCACTTGCTTTGTAACTTGTTACAGGTCACAGCCTCTGTGACCCTTAGTTTCCTTTTCAGTCAAATAGTACTGTTGTGATTATTGAGATTAAGATAATGATCATAGGAGATGCTCAGTGAAGAGGACTGGATATTTTATTAACAACTAGTTGAATGACTTTGGACAAGAACCTTCACATTCAGTACTGTTTCTTTTTTTCTTTTTAAAGATTTATTTATGCATACAAGAGCTGGAGTGTAGGCCAGAGGTGGGGGCAGGGGGGGTGGTGGTGGTGAGAAAATTTACCAGAGACAGAGTGGGGAGCAGAACAGGTAGACTGACTGAAATACACTGCTGAGGGGAGCAGCGGGCAAGACAGGAGAGGTCTGCTGCGCTAGGCGGCTTAGCTCCCTGGCCAGGGATGGAACTAGTGCTGCAGTGGCTGAGGATTGCTTCATAGTGCTGAGAATTAACCCCTTGAGCCACCAGAGAGGTCCTCAGTACTGTTTTTTTTATGGGGAATATAAAGGTCACCTTATGGTCTCTCAAGCCCTTTTCAGCAATAGACCCTCACTCTACCTCATTCTAGAATGAGCTTTTCTCCCACGCACGACACTCATTTCCTTCTTAGTAGTGTCTAATCCCCCTTCCCCCACCCCCACCCCCACCCCGCTCCCACACACCGCCAGCACCGCCACCAACCCCTTCCTGCTTTCTTACTGCTCCTGCCACCGTGGAAGCTGCAGATTACCGGGTTCTCGGGAATGTGACCCGTACCCTTGCCCTCTGCCCGGATCTAAAGGCTAGTCTGTCTCAGGGAAGGCGAACTTCGATCCTGGACCCATCGTGAGGCCCCGGGCAGGGGGAGCCCCCGACCCGGCAGGCGGCGAGAGCGCAGCGGTTCCGGCGCCCCCGCGCGCCACCAGCGCCTGCAAACTCCGAGGCGGAGCGAGGGCCCGGCCCAGCGCTCGGAGCTGGACTTGGGACTCCGCGCGGCGGGGCGTCCTCGCCCAGGGGAGAGCTCGCCTCGGAGGCTCCCGGGTAGAGTCAGAAGCCTCGAGCTCTCAGCCGGGCACCCCAGACTGGGATTGCTTCGTCCACTACAAGCAGGCCCCGGGGAAAGAGCATCTGCAGCGCCACTCCCTCCGGCGCCACCCCAGTCCCGGGGATCGCGGGGTAATGAGATGCTAATGAGGCACGAATAAAGCCTCAGCTGGCTGCACGCCCCGCGCCCCGGCCCACAGGCCGCCAGACTCCCGGCTGGGGCGCAGCCCGCGCGCGCCGCGCCGCGTCCCCCAGCTCCCTCTCCGCGCCTCTTCCACTCCCTCTCTCCGCCCCCACCCCGCCCCCGCCCCGTCCGGGTCGCCCGCCGGCAGGAAGCAGCCCCTCCCGGCCACAGAGCTGTCCTGTAAGTTGCCCAGCTGTGCCAGCTGTGTACCCCCGCCCGCGGGGGCCGGGAGTGGGTGGGGGCGCGCTTCCGTCGAAATACGGTCGGAGGCGCTGGGGAACCCCGTCTGGCTGCTGGGGCTGGCCTCCCCCGGCCCCCGCCCTGCTGAGCCGCTCTCCAGACCTTAAGGTCCAGAGTGTGAGTATCCCCGCCCCAACAGCCAGCGGTCCAGCTCCCTCGCCATCCTTCCAAACCGCCCTGCGAGGTACGGCCTCGACCTGGCGTTTCCAGACTGGGTGGCCCCTGTCCCCTGGGCTCAGATCTTCCTTCTTCCACTTCCTCCACTTCCCCTCTGCCCTTCCTGCCTGTTCCTCCTCCCGGACAACGCTTGCCTCGTACAGGTGACCCGCAGAGGACAACCTTAGTCTCCTGCTTTGGGGCGACCCTCTGGATTCCCGCCTGGAATTGCAGGGTGACTGCGGGCGTGGGGGCGGGGATCAACCCCCGTGCTCTGCCCCACCGATGCTGCCCACTTCCCTAACTTCCCCGCGAGCAACTCCATCCTCCAGTACCCTCTGATTCCCCCTAGTCCGAGCGTGAGAAAGTCCTCTCCGACACCCCTCAATTCGCGTGGGGGCCCGAGCGAGGGAGAGTTGGACAAAAGAAAGCCTTGTTTCGGGAGATTCCTGGGAGAGCGAACCCGAGCCCAGAGGGGATGGGGTGGAGCGTCGAGCCCAACGGGTGGGGTGGGAGGGAGGTGTCGGGACACACCCAACTGCTGTGGTCCCCTCCCCCAGGCCCCCTGGGGCAGAGGCACGTCTTAAGGGAAGTGTTTTGACCACAGTGAGTCAGAAATAGACCCAGTCCTGGTCACATCACCCAGTCAGTCGCAATATCCTCTGGCTATTAGTTTTGGTGATGGGAAGTGGAACCTACACAAAAATTGTCTCCCAACCCCCCCCCCCCCCCCCCCCCCCCCCCGTCTCCCCCAGGCCCCGCCTCAGGAGGCAAGGCAAGCAAGAGTGCTAAATAGGAAACTTTGTCCCTGGCAATATGACACACCCTACATGCCCTGTGGCACAGGGAGGCATGGGGCAAATGGGACAGTGTGCGTGCCCAGCAGCTGGGGTTGTAGGTTTTAGGTCTGTCCTGTCTGCACAGGTAGGGAAACTTTCTTCCCAGGGAAGTCCATCTTCTCTGGTTCTGAGAAATTCTCCCATGCTCTGCTGCCTGGGCCTGAAAGCTGGATAAGAATTCCTGCTGCCTGGGCCCCAGAGCAGGGCTTGGAGACCTCTGGACAGCTGGCAGCTCCCTGGCTTTCCCTTTTTCATTTCCGAATTTGGCAGGTTTCTCTTGGAGTGGAAGGGATGGCAGCTGTCTGGAGCAGGTGGGAGTGGGCTGGGGGAGAGAGCAGAGCCAATCAGGTGGACCTGGAGTTCCCTGGGGATGCCAGCAGCTTTCTTTTTTCTTTTGCTTCTTTATCCAGTCACCTCCCCTTCCCTTTCCTCCTCCTCTCCAGCAACCACGTGACTCAGACCAACTGCTCCCCACTTTGGGAGCTTCTGGGCCCTCATGACCTCATCCACGTCCTCCAACCCTGCACATGCTCACTTTGAGAGCTTCCTCCAAGCCCAGCGCTGCCAGGATGTGCTGAGCAGCTTCCAAGGACTATGCAGTGCCCTGGGAGTAGAGCCCGGTGGGGGGCTGCCCCAGTTCCACAAGATCAAGGCCCAGCTCAACTACTGGAGTGCCAAATCACTGTGGGCCAAGCTGGACAAGAGAGCAGGCCAGCCTGTGTACCAGCAGGGCCGGGCCTGCGCCAACACCAAGGTAGATACCCGGTGCCTGGGATGGGACTTGGAGAGTAGAGGTGAGTCAGGGGGGAGACGCATGCCGTGCCCACTCTGCCCTGTGTTTGCAGTGCCTAGTGGTAGGTGCTGGACCTTGTGGTCTGCGGGCTGCTGTGGAGCTGGCGCTGCTGGGGGCCCGTGTGATGCTGGTAGAAAAACGCACCAAGTTCTCTCGCCACAACGTCCTCCACCTTTGGCCCTTTACCATCCATGACCTTCGGGCACTTGGTGCAAAGAAATTCTATGGGCGCTTCTGCACAGGCACCCTGGACCACATCAGTGAGCATCATGTGGGGCCTAGAGGGGTGGGTGGACCTGAGCCACCCAGTGGGGGGCTGCTGGCCCAGTCAAGAAGTGGATGACCTTCAGAGTTCAGGTCCCTCATCTGTAAAATGGGCAGTTGGACTGAGTGATCTTTAAGGCCTTCTCTAGCTCAGACCAGATGCATACTCGTGCGGGGGGAGACCTGCGGTCCCCAGATCCCTGCTCCTAACATCCTCTCCCTTTCAGGCATCCGGCAGCTTCAGTTGCTTTTGTTGAAGGTGGTTCTGCTGCTAGGGGTGGAAGTTCACTGGGGGGTCACTTTCACTGGGCTACAGCCCCCTCTTGAAAAAGGTAAGTTCTCTGCACCAGTGAACCCCTACCTGCCAAGATTTTGGCCTATGAAAGATAAAAGCTGGGTTTGAGAGTCAGCCCCGGCTCCCTTTCTATTAGTGTAGCCTTGTGCAAACCTCTCTGAGTCTCATTTTGATCATCGGTGAAATGGGAGTTGTTTCCTTCCTTGCCAACTGCCCACAGTTGTTGTGAAGGTGCAATTTGGTAGAGGATGCATCAATGCTTTCTAAACCATAAAGCTCTTCACATATTTAAATATTTCATGGGGTTGTCCTGGAAGTATAAGGACCCCTTCAGATTTCCACACCTTGTGCTTCTCAAACTGTCTTCCCCAGGGAGTGGCTGGCGTGCTGAACTCCAGCCCAATCCCCCAGCCCAACTGGCCAACTATGAATTTGATGTCCTCATCTCAGCAGCTGGTGGTAAATTCGTCCCTAAAGGTGAGTGATCCCTTCCCTCAAAGAAACCCAGATCTTGGGCTCCTCCTGGGCCTTTCTAACTGTTATCCTCCTTGTTCTTTTACCACCAACTGCCTGCCCCATCTAGGTTTTACTGTGCGAGAAATGCGCGGTAAACTGGCCATTGGCATCACAGTCAACTTTGTCAACCAGCGCACTGTGGAAGAGACACAGGTGCCTGAGATCAGCGGTGTGGCCAGGATCTACAACCAGAGCTTCTTCCAGAGTCTGCTCAAAGCCACAGGTCTGGGCCCTCTCACGGGGTTCCCTTACTGGCTGACTGTGGGCTGGCTTTCCCCTAAGACTTGTGCTCAGCCCAGTGAATCTCCCACTCCCATCTTTATGGTCTTGGCAACAAAAGGGAAAGAAGTTGTATCCCCAGTAGCTCAGTAGGCACAGCCCCACTTTGCACTCAGTATGAAATATCTAGAATCTTTCACAAGATGCATGGGATTTTGCCTTGTGTTTCTTTACATATGCTGTGATCTAAAAATGATATGAATTCAAAATGGAAGTAGCACTTCAAGAAAATGCCTGCTGTTTATTTTGGCTTCACACTGCCATGCCCCCTGCCATGTGTAACACCCAGGTAGAGAAGCCAAGGGGTCACTCCCAAGGGTGGGCTTATGTGGTGCAGGTCTCAGCTGCCACCTCACCCTGGTTTCTCTCTTTGCTGCAAGTCCTAGGCCTCCTGGGTCTGGCACAGATGTGCCACCAGAACTCGTGGGCCCCGTGTGTGGGGCATCTCATGCAGTCTTAAGATGTGATGCCTCTCTCAGAGGTGGGGCATGGCTGGGAGCTTGAAGAGGTGACATAGTAAGGAGGAGACTCATCTCTTTTCTCCCCTGCCCTGCCCCCCAAGGCATTGATCTGGAGAACATCGTGTACTATAAGGACGATACCCACTACTTCGTGATGACAGCCAAGAAACAGTGCCTGCTGCGACTGGGGGTGCTGCGTCAGGTGACGTCGGGGTTCATGCAGGGAGGTCTGGGTGGCGGTCCTGGGAGGTGGGGTCCTGGACACAATATCCCCCCACTGTATGTGGTGGATCCCCTCTTCTCCTGCCAATGCTCTGGCATTTTCTCCATCCCACAAGCTCTTTGCTTCTGGAATTTACATGGCAATACGAATCACTTTCTGTGCTAACCCTGATGCACCACAGGACTACTTATGTAATCTCTTTGAGGGCGAGGATTCTGTCTCTGTGTCCTTTGCCTGCTGATGACTCCCAGTACTTCAGATGGGATCTGGAATGTATTTGCTACAGAGCTAGTTGAACATCAACTATGTGCTGGGTACTATGTTGAAAACCTTACATTCATTTTTCTCATCTGATTCTCAAAACTACCTTGAGAAGTTAATCATATTATTTTTAAATGATGGGGAAACTGAGGTGCTGAGTTCAGTGATGTGTCCAAAGCAAGTGTCTGACACTAGTCATGGTCCTGGGCCTCAGAGCAAGGTGGGGCCTGGGTCCTCCCTTCAGCAGCGTGAGTGATGAGAGACTTGACTTTGGCAAGCAGGACACTTATAAATTCCTGCGCTAACTCATCCTTCAATTGTTAAGTAGTGTGGGGGAGTCCCTCTCTGAGCCTCTGTACATGCATGTTCTGTGCCCAGATGGGTCTGTGCCCAGATGGGGGTCTGTCCATTTCTGCTTCTGATCTCTTGGTTATGTAGGACTGGCCAGAGACTGACCGGCTCCTGAGCAGCACCAACGTGGTACCTGAGGCTCTGCAACAGTTCGTCCGGGCAGCTGCTGACTTCGCCACCCAGGGCAAGCTGGGGAAGCTGGAATTTGCCCAGGATGCCCACGGACAGCCTGACATCTCTGCCTTTGACTTCACAAGTATGATGCGAGCAGAGAGCTCAGCTCGAGTGCAGGAGAAGCATGGTGCCCGCCTGCTGCTGGGGCTCGTGGGGGACTGCCTGGTGGAGGTGAGGGGGTCAGGGTCCCTGGTTGGGGGAGGCAAAGAGCTGTCTGGCCCTTTAAGAGGCAGGGACCCTTTATAAGGAGGCATAGGGGCTCCACAATTGGAGGAGGAAGCTGCCTAATGAGAAGGTGGTAAAAAAAAAAGTTTTGCTTGCTGTGGGGAGGAGCTGAGGTCAGCTCTGTGGAGGTGAGAGACTACAGGGCCTGGTGGGAGTGGGGGAGTCTGCCAGGAACCTTAGGGGCACCCGGGTTTAGGCACCCCTGTGGACTCCCACTGAGCTGTTTCCTGTCCTCTTGACCCTGCAGCCCTTCTGGCCCCTGGGCACTGGAGTGGCCCGGGGCTTCTTGGCAGCCTTCGATGCAGCATGGATGGTGAAGCGGTGGGCAGAGGGCACAGGGCCCCTAGAGGTGTTGGCAGAGCGGTGAGGCCTGTGTTGTGGGTTCACGTGGGTATGGCTGGATATTGGGCAGGGGTCAGAAAGAGGTTCAAGGGTGCTGGGTGAATAGATGGGGACTTGCGCAAAGTGAATAGCTCTTGAGGAGTGGATACTGATGGGTACCCTCTCACTCATCCCCCTACCCCCTGCCCTGCAGCGAGAGCCTGTATCAGCTGCTGTCACAGACATCCCCAGATAACATGCACCGCAACGTGGCCCAGTACGGGCTGGACCCAGCCACCCGCTACCCCAAACTGAATCTCCGGGCTGTGACCCCTAATCAGGTCAGACTCCATGGTACCCCTACACTGGACTTCCTAGGCAGTCCCCACCTTCCAGGTCAGGCCTTCCCGCTATCTGCCCAGTTACTGCCCCTCTGGGTGAGTCCCCTGGGTAGGGCCCTATACGGATTGAGGAATGGTGTGCTCAACCTGCCTTAAGACACGAAAAGGATTGCCATAGGTACGAGACCTCTATGACGTAATGGCCAAGGAGCCTGTGTGCTGGCAGAATGACAAGACAGACACAGGAACGCCGGCCACAGGTGAGCAGACCTTCCCCCAGGCCCATGTCCAAAATACTTGCCAAATGCAATCATCAGAATAGCTGCAACCTCAGGCTCCTGGGAACAGGATGTTAGAGCACTCTAGGGTGGTGGGAAGTTTGGCGGCACGGAAGGACTGGAGGGGCAGTGGAGCACTGAGCAGCAGCCATCTCTGTGGAAGTATTTCAGCTTTTTATTCTCCTCGACAGCTGTAGTGGCTAAATGGCAGCCATGCTGTTAGCTGTTCTGACTCACCCCTTCCAGTCTTGCTGACCCCAAATCCACCTGTCCTTTGTGCCTCTGGGTCTCTGTTACCACTCAATTCATGACCTGCTATCTTCGATGGCAAGCATTGATTTCACTTTATTCATCCCCACTTGACTGAAAAAGCCATTTTTTTTAAGTGAGAAAATCAGGGTGAAGGAGATGAGCATGAAGGAGATGAGCTTCAGACATGAGCATTAGACTGGTGCCTCAGCAGGTCCCTGTTCCACCTTCCTCCACCTCCCACACTGAGCCCTCACACCCAGCAGCTGTGCTCTGTGAGCCAGGGTGCCATGGCACAGCACAGCCTCTTCTCCCAGGGTTGACAAGCACCCAGGAGGAGCTGTTACGCTGGTGCCAGGAGCAGACGGCTGGGTTCCCGGGGGTCCATGTCACCGACCTGTCTTCTTCCTGGGCTGACGGGCTGGCTCTGTGTGCCCTGGTGCACCGGCTGCGGCCCTGCCTACTGTGAGTTGGGAATCAGGTTTTGGGGTCCCTCTTTCCTGGCTGTGCCCCTCCAAGACAGTGTGGAATGATGAGACGACCGTGGAGTTGGCACACCCAGTGGTGTCCCATCACTTGTTAATAATCCTTCTGCTCAAGCCACACACCTCTCTAGATATTATTCCTGCCTTGATTCTGCCTGTCTATAAGTCAAATGTGTTTAATAGGGAGAACTTTGTGCTCTCCCCCAAGACCAGAATTTGTTGACACTGGTTAATAAAGGGCAAGGCAGAGAATAGAAACCCTTCATGCCCCTTCCCCACTGCTGACCTTCCCCTGCTGCTCTCTCTCCACCCTCTCCTCTTGGGTAGTGTCTGGTGTTTGTGTCCTATTGAGTTTTCTCCCCAACACCCCATAGGGAACCATCAGACCTGCAGGGGATGGGTGCTCTGGAAGCAACTTCTTGGGCACTGAAGATGGCAGAGCACGAGCTGGGTATCACACCAGTGTTGTCTGCACAGGCAGTGGTGGCAGGGAGTGACCCTCTGGGCCTCATCGCATACCTCAGCTACTTCCACAATGCCTTCAAGAATACACCTCAAAATCCAGGTGACCTGGAGGGCAGGTCATCCCAAGTGGGGTGGGAGTGGGGACAGGAGGTGTGTGCGTGAGAGAAGGTATCCTCTGAGGGACAGCCTGGGAGAGGTGTCCCGAACTGGAGCCTAGCTGTCTGATCTGGGGCTACAGTATTAGCCACCCATCTACCCGACTCCCTGACTCTCCCTGTAGGCCCTGTCAGCCAAGACTCCCCAGTTACTGCCAGTGCTGTGCTGTTCCTTGGCAAACTGCAGAGGACTCTGCAACGTACCCGGGCCAAGGTGGATTCCTGGTGGGGGCGCCTGGGCCATGGGAGCACATTTAGAATGGAGGGAGGGGAGGACCAGGAGCTCAGAGCCCCATGCTCACAGCATAGGACTTGTTGCAGGAAAATGGGGAGGATGCTGGTGGCAAGAAGCCTCGCATGGAGGTAAGTGCAGGCTGAGGCTGGACAATCCCTGTGCGGGGTTTACCCACATAGTTTTTCCTATATCCTGTTCCCTTATATCTTGCTCCCCACCCCAGGAACTTTAACTCCCCCATTTAATCTCCCTTCTCCCTAGTCTCACTCCCCTTCCCTTCCAGTCTTTTCTATCTGGACACGGCCACTCCCCATAGGGAGTGTCCCTCTACTCCCCATCCTGTCCCTCTGCTCCCCATCCTGAACACTAACCTCCTTAGGAAAAGGCTGAGACCCCAAGTACTGAAGAGCCACCTGTCCCAGAGTCCAGTCTACCCCTGACACCCCCATCCCTCCAGGAGGAGGTGAGAACCAGGGCCCCGTCTGCAAGCAGAAGCCTGGGGAGGGGCAGGAGGAGTGTTCCGGGGTGAGGGAAACAGGCCTTGACTCCAGCTGGCCTGTTTCATGGGGGTTGTTGCAGGCTGATGCTGGAGACCTGTGTGCACTTTGTGGGGAACACCTCTATGTTTTGGAACGCCTCTGTGCCGATGGCCGTTTCTTCCACCGGAGCTGCTTCCGCTGCCATGTCTGTGAGGCCACACTGTGGCCAAGTGACTATGGGCAGCACCCAGGAGATGGTGAGTGCTGGGAGACCTCCAGAGAGACTTTGGGCCTGGCCTTAGCTGGGGGGCAAGGAGCTTGAAGGTAAAGGGGAATGGGGTGCTGGCCATGAGATGGCAATAGGCCCAAGATGGTACTTTCTTCTTCTGGGCCCAGGGTCTTCTCCCCAAATGTGGTGTTCTGAGAAACCAGGAGGCTATGAGAAATTGGGCTGCAAATCCACAGTCCTACCTCCCCCAGGGCCTTGAGCTGCCTACGACTGATGCCTACTCCCCACCCTCTTCTCTCCCAGGACATTTCTACTGCCTCCAGCACCTGCCCCAACCAGAAAGCGACAGCAACAAAAGCCCCGAGAGTCAGGTAAAAACTAAGTGTGTGTGAGGGTGGAAAAGAGTCTCTCTAGCCAAGCGGACTTTGCATTTTCTCTAGTAGAAGGTAAGCTCCATGAAGGCAGGGATTTTTGTCCTGTTTTTTTTTTTTTATTTTTATTGCTGTATCATAAGTATCTAGAAAATTGAGTAAATAGTTTGAGTGAATGTCAAGGCCCATATTTGCCTAACAGGGTCAACTTGACCTCATACCATACAGTTCATTGACCAGACCACATGGTGGTTTTTTCAGGAGCTTCCCACACTGGTTGAGAACAGCATGCCACCAAGCCCCTCCAGTCCCATGGCCCCCCAGGAGGGAGCCAGTCCTGTACCAAGCCCCAGTCAGCCTACCCGTCGGCTGATCCGTCTCTCCAGCCCGGAACGCCGTCAGCTATCCTCCCTTAACCTTACTCCTGGCCCAGAAATGGAACCTCCACCCAAGCCTCCCCGCAGCCTCCTAACTGAGGCCAAGCAGGCCCTGGAGGACAGCTTTGTGGGTTGGGGAATGCCAATCCAGACACCTCAAGGTAACCACTCTGCCCAGACATGCTGACCCAGGGTGGGGACAGGGCAGGAGGTATTGGGATTCCTGACAGGGAAATGCTCAGGAATGGAAAGGGAGGTTTTGGGGATCCCAGGTCATGTCACCTCTGTTCAGTTCTTGAGACCATGGAGATGGAGGAAGAGAATCCCTCCTCCAGTGAAGAGGAAGAGGAAGAGGCGATTGTGGACTTAGCCATGGAGCAGGTGAGTGGGAGGAAACTGTTCTGCCCAAGCCAGCATACATCCATTAAATATACCCCCCACAGGAGAAACCTACATTCTGCTCTCTCCTTTGAGGCCTTCTTCAGATGTCTTCTCAACCAGTCTCTTTCATGTCTCTAAGCTTCCATCTTTCCTGCCAGAACTTACCCCACTCCCAGCCTAGGTTCCTTTCAGCTCCTTCCAGAGCTTTCCCAAACTCTATCCACCAAAGAGCTAGGCCCTACCCCTGACTGGCCTGACCCTGCCATAGACCCTGTTAACCTTGGCGAAGAATCCAAGCAACATGAGCAACTATCCAACGTGGAATCGGACCCTGCTACGCCGTGCTAAGGAGGAGATGATGAAGCGGTTTTGCCAGGCCCAGGTGAGGCGCAGGGCCTCTTGAGTGTGGAGATCAGAGCTCCTTGAGTGTTCCGTTCTTGAGCAATATGAAGACTTCTGGGCCTGCTGTCTTGTACCCCTCAGGCCATCCAGCGGCGCCAAAATGAGATTGAGGCTGCTCTGAAGGAGCTGGAGGCTGAGGGCGTGAAACTGGAGCTGAACTTGAGGCGCCAGAGCAGTGAGTGAAGACAGAGGCGGGACAAGCTAGGGCACCTCTGTCGCTAGCACCTTGTTCAGCCCTCAGCAATCCCTCAAACCCTTAGCAGGCCCTTTGTAGGCTCCACTTCGCATGCCATCACCTCTCTGACCCTGGCTGGAGGCCTCCTGACCACTCTGCCCTGCTTCTTCTCATCAGGTTCTCCAGAACAGCAAAAGAATCTATGGGTAGAACAGCTGCTGAAGCTTGTTGAGAAGAAAAACAGCCTGGTGAATGAGGAGGCTGAGCTCATGATCAGGTAAGGGGTAGAGGGTATTGACAGTGGCACGTGAGTTGAGCCCAGCAGTCCTTGGGTACCTGGTCAGCTGAGTTTCCTCTATCCTGCCCTCCACAGGGCAAAGGAGCTGAACCTGGAGGACAAACAATGGCACCTGGACCAGGAGCTACGAGGCTACCTGAACCAGGATGGTAGGTGGAATGTGGGAAGATGACATCATGTGGCTGGCATGACACAAGCCTCGTAATCTTAGCTACTTAACAAACAACATGGTTTTCTAGTCCCAGTCCCTCTGAGCACCTCAGGAGGCAGCCAGAAGATAGGGCCCCAAGTCCCTACTCTGTTGCCAGTTCAATCAGAGCTGCCCAATTAGGCTTTCACACAGGCCTTCCTTTGCTGCTGTTAAACAATGCCTTTCCCACAGGCACTGACAAACCTAGTTTTACAGATTAGGAAACAAAGCCTAGGATGTAGACGTCACATAGGCTGGGCCCAGGTTATACCTCTGCTGCCTCCCTGCCCAGTTTTCTGTTCTCTAAGCTTCCTGTCCTTCCTTCAGAAAACCTAAAATCAGATGATGATCGACGGAAAGAGAAAAACATCCTAAAGAAACTGGTGGACGTGGTGAATGAGCGAGATGCCCTCATCCGCTTACAGGAACAGCGCAGGCTCAGCGAGCTGGCCTTGGGGTCAGAGGCCCAGGCCTAGAAGAGGACAGGCTGCTGACCTCCTTTCCTACAAGACCATGTCATCCTAGGAAAGGATAGTTCATTTTATAATAAAAATATAAAAACAAAGAGGACTTGGCTTCCTGCTGGTGGGAGGTATGTAGATGTGCAGGAGCCTAAAGATGCACTTTGTGACAGTCACTCATTCTTGATCCCCAATCACTGCCTCTACAAGAAAAAGGCAGAGCCACAGAAGCATCAAGCTTTATTCTTCCCCAGTTCCGTCCCTCTCCTGCTGCCCAGGAAGCAGGACTAGGGGAGAGGGTGGGTTCAGGTCTTGGGCCTCCTCTGCCCTTTTCAGCACATGCTGCAGCTCAGACCGGGCCCTACATAGGTTCTTGGTCTCCTGCATGTGGAAGAGGTAGACCGCACCTGCCCCCAGCACCAGTCCTACACTGGGGGTCCAGAGTAGAATGGCCACTTGCCTAACACCCCCTTCAACCACCAGGGCACACAGCAATGCCAGGAGAAGCAGCCCCAGACCAATCGCATAGCCAGCCAAGGTAGTCCACCAGCGAGCTTGAGCCACACCCTGGTCCAGCTCCGTCCAGGCCTCCTTCAGCACACTGTTCAATGTTGACCTCTCTTTTGGTCCTAGAACAAGCAAGGCAGTGGGGTGCGAGAGAGGGTCAGAGTGGAGGAGCTGCCTTATGGTGGAGAAGAACCAAGGGAAAGGGTAAGAGGTGACTCACCATGGGTAGGGCTGGGGTTGTACTCAGGGGGACTGTGTCTCACACACAGAGTAGCCATCAGGGCCTCATGATCAGAGAGGGGGGTGCCAGAGTTAGGGTGATGGCCTGTTGTAGTTTTGAGAGTCCTACAGGAAATGTAAAACCCAGAAACCGCCTATGAAAAGGATGAGAGAGAACACATTTGCATTCTTTCCAGAGTAGCAACTCCCGGTTACCCTTTCTCCAGCCATCAGCAGTCTAAGACAAGTTGGCTGGACAAAGGATCTGCACGGGCTGATGAGAGACAAAGGGACACTGCGAGAAGGCACACTGGCGGGGAGAGGCCTGACCTTGTAAAGCATGTAGTCAATGCGAATGCCCGAGGAAAATGGCTCCAGCTCCTGCTGCTTGACATAGCAGTTTTCAGGTACCATTGTACAGCCTTCATCAGAGCCCTACATGAAGAGGTGTTTTGTGCTGGATTGTGGGGGAAGGAAAAGGAAGAGAAGCTGGGGGGATAAGCTGGGACAAATAATCAGGAGCTTCTCACCTTGAAGTCTTGGGTCTCCAGGTAAGCATCAAGTAGTCCTGTACACTCCATTAGCAGGCGGCAGCCCAGGTCCTTTGGGTGCAAGTTGAGGTCCCCACACAATAGAATCACGTCGGCCTTCTTGGATGTGTGGCTGGGGGAATCAGGTTAATGAGGCAGGATATTTTTCCTCACCAGCTGTTGCCCTTAGGACCTTGGCCACCCCTCAGTCCCGGGGTCCCTTCCCTCTCCCCCTGTTCACGCCCAGGCTCACACACTGGATGAACTGGGCCAGTTCCCAAGCTTGGGCCACACGATGTGCCAAGTAGATGTCCTTCTGTCGACTGTACTCGGCATGGAGCTGAGCAAGATAGATGAGATGATAGCAGATGAGACAGAAGGTCCCAAGGGGAGGTCTAAATCAGAGCTGGTGTCTGTCATTCAGCCTGATGCTTGGTAAAAAGGACTGAAACCTGCCTACTGATCCTAAGCGATCCTGCCCTCAATGCCTCCTCCCTAGGCAGCCCACTTGGGAGTCCCACTCCCCAACAACCCCCCCACCGCCACTTCCACCAGACTATCCCTGTGCTTCACTCACGTGGGTCACATAGGCATTGAGCACCAGTCCACTTAGATGGAGCACCAGAAGCCCTACAGCCTTTCCACAGAACCAGTCACCATGATGGATCTGAAGGCAGGAGGGGGCAGAAACAATTCAGAGCACTGCTACCCTCCTTATGCACATGCCCTGGTACCCTAGAAAGGCTGTTTCTTATTATGTCCTAGTAGGGGATGGGGAAAGGAGGTGGAAGAGGTCAGAAGGCAGGCTTACCATGTAGGGATAGCCATTGAGGGTATAGACATGCTGGGTGAATTCTTGGATTGGATGTTTGGAGAAGACACAGAGTCCACTCCCAATGATGCCGCTGAAAGCACAGTCCTGGTTAATAGCCAGAAAGGCAGGGCAGGAAATACCCAGCCCTCTCCCCTCCCAGTTCTAATCAGATACTGCTGGGACCAGCACCAGAACGAAGCTCAAAGTGACAGATTTTGTGGGATGACCGGATAGCCTTATAATAAGGAAGTGATGAGCTAGAGAGATAATATCTTTCTGATTCCAGCCTTACCTGCTCCCACACCCAGGGCAGAGGACACTATAGGGAGAGGGATGAAGGTGAAGGGAGGCTAGGAAAGGGCTGACAGGGCCATGAGAGTTCAAGTCTGAGAGCAGGCTTCCTGGCCTCACCTCCTGAAGTAGTGTGCGGCTGGGTAGGTGGGCAGCAGCTTCTGCTTCAAGTACTGGAAGTCCTGCTCACTCCACACCTGAGGGAAGGGATGAAGATGCCTGCCAGGTCCTTCCACCTGGGGGAACACCGTCTCCTGCACCCCCAGTTGCCTCTACTCCCAGCCTGGGTTCCAAACCAGTTCTGCACACCCCTACCTCCTCCAGTAAGGCTAGATCGTAGCTCTCCATGTTCAGAAAGTCTCCCAGGCGCTGCATTCGATCCTCGCGATTCTTGCTCAGGTAGGGAATAGCCCTGAGGAAGGAAAAGACCAGGGGAGGTAACAGCTGGGGGGCGGTGGTGTGCTCGTCCCCCGGGGCAAAACTGCAGCTGAGGTGCGGGCCTTGGAGATGCGGGTTCCTCCCCACCACCCTGGACCCCCAGATCTGATGGCAGGGTAGAGTGGAGGCCCAGACAAGAGGAAGGCCTCCCACTTCTGGTTATGCGGGTGCGGATGGGACCGTGGCCCCAGGCCCCAGCCGCGGGCCTACTCACCAGCAGTTGAGGTTAAAGACCCTCAGTCGCAGGGAGAAGTTGGGCTTCATGGCTGGGCAGCTCCAGAGTCGCAGGACCTGTCCTCTGGGACGCCCCGGGGAAGGCAGGGCCGAGGCCGGCGGCGGACGCACCTCCCCGGGGCGGCGCGCACAGGTGGTCGGCCCCGCCCCGCGCCTCCCGGAAGAACGCGCTTCCCCAGTCGGCCGCGCTCAGGCGCCGGCCAAGGCGCGCGGCCCGGGGCGCACTTCCTCGTCACCCCGGCAACGGGCGGCTCGCCCCGGACTGGCCGCCCACCAGCCCGGAAAGGCGAGCGGCGGCGCAGTCCGGGCGCGGGCGGGCGGCGAGGGCCGCACGCGGGGAGTCCGGAGGGGCTGGGGGGGGGTCCCCCAAGGGGGCCTGGGGGGGCGAGGAGCCGGGCTAGGGCACTCGGGGCTCCCCGTTCCTTTTCCCCAGAGCTCACCCCCGGCCCGCGCGCCCTCCCGCGTTTTCTCGCCCGGGTTGGCAGCAACAGGCGCAGAGTTGAGGGAAGACGGGCCGCCCGCCCCTCGCCTCGCTCCTCCCGCCGAGCGCCGGGGCGGGGCCGCGCGGTCACCCTGGCGACGCACAGTGTTTGTGCCCCGAGTAGCCCGGGAGCGCGGCCATGGCCAGCTTGCAGCCCGGCGGGCAGGGGTCCGCCGCGTGCCGCTCCGCGTCGCCGCCCGAGAAGCCGCTGCGGGTGAAGGTAGTGGGACTCTTCAAAAGCTCTAGCTTTCAGATGGCGAAGAACACAGCTGAGGTAACGGCGTTGAAACCAGGAGTGTGAACGGCCCTTCTACGTCCCGTCAGGCGCCTCCTAGTGGTGAGGGTTGGCGTGTCCTGAGGGAGGGACACGTCCCGGCTGGGCGGGCTGGAATGATCCGTGCATGTGGGGGCCAGGTCCAGGGCAGGGCAGGCGCTCCACTTCCAGAAAGGTGGCCTTGAAAGGCAAATTCAAGCCAAGGAAGAATACAGAACCTGAGTGGGAATAAAGGTAATTCCTCGTCACCTATTTTATTGCACATTAATTTTTGGATTTTTCAATTCATGAAAAAATTGTTCAAAATATTACCATAGCACAGTATTACCAAGATTATTAAAGTATTTCTTAAAAAGGGAAAGGTATTATAAAAAAGTTTGTTATCATTTAACCAGGTAATTTTCACACACTCCCAAGTGAAGAAGGGTTTTTAAGATTTTTTAATAAATTTGTAACAGTGACTGCATTCCGATCAAATTAGGTGCTTAAGGGATTTCTTAAAATGACCCACCAATGCTTTGGGAAACCCCAGTATTCATTTGTAAACACATAGAACAAAATAAAAGGGAAAACGCTTTACCTGGAAGAATTTCATCAGGTCACTATTGCTGCAGCACACCTGTAACCATGCAGGAGAAATATACAAATGTACATACTATTGAAATGTAGAATTCATTATGTTTTGGGGGCTCTAGAAATACTATTGTAAGATCTTCCCAACTTTCCCTCCTTCAAAACCTCACCGGACCCCAGGATCTTGCCTTGTTCATGTTTGTCTTCCCCAAAGTACCCAGCTGGATACTTGTCACAAAATGTTACCGCATAGAAAAAAATCTTTAGAAATTCCTGCTTTGTTAACCTGCTCCAAGTCTGAAGAATTCAAGAAAAGTGTAATTATATCAAATCAGGAAATAGAAACTAATTTGTGGGTTCTAGGTAAAGTTTACATTAAGATGAAGAGAACAAGTGTTCAGAAGTCTGTGAAAACCATACATGAATTATCAAAACAAGTAGAAATTATGGGCTGTAATAGTTGTATTGATGGGATTAGTAAAGTTTTATGGTCCAAGATGTATTGAGAGAATTTGAGAGAATTCTTTTCCCTTATTTGTCTTAACTTCTTTCCTGAAGGCACATGTTTTCTGTGCCTACAACCACAACCTATAGATGTTTTGGCAAATTTTTTTTCCTGTAAAGTCCAGATAATAAATCATTGGACTTTCTGGTCCATAGGCTCTCAGATATAACTACTCAACTCTCTTCTTGTTGTATGAGAGCAGTCATAGGCAGTATGCATATGAATATAATATTATTAT